GGAGCATAGTCGTCGGCCTGTTCTTTGTCTCACATGATCGAACTTCTGGACAAAATACAGCCACGGAAGCGGTCAGTATATTCAACCGTATTACTGAAACATGTCTCATAGCAGTTTGTTCAGGCAGAATTTTTAGGAAGACTTCACAACAGAAAGCACGGACTGGAAAAGCTGGCTATAATTTATAGCCTCCCAAAGGCATTGCTGATGTGGGGGTGAGTCTGCACCCTAATGTAATAGGCAGAGGCCCTAATATCAATATGTTAGCATGGCCTTCTTCTTTGCGGCATTCTCGATCGATTGGTGGACGGCTGGAGATAAAACTTCCAGAAGCATCGTTGGTTCTGTGACACTGGTCGTATTCGTGATGATTTTAAGCAGCATCATTCTCACGAGGGACGAAGCAATATGGTCGTGGCGGCTAATCTGGCGGTTGTTTGGAAATATCACCCAGGAACTGTTGTCTCGTCTGGCTAGCGCTTGGAAGCAAGTCATTGCGCTCGGCCAAATCGACCTTGTTGGCCCCTCTGCCGATGCGGATCAAGTTGCAATGCGCACCCATTATGTTACAACGTTACCTGATTCAGAACCAGACAACCACGAAAATCGCCCCAACTCCCCCATCCCCCATGTTCGGCTAGGCCACCACTCGGCTTCCGTACATGCACCTCAGCAACCACATGCTGGCAACTTCATTCAGCCATCATCGGATTCACACATCAACCCAGGTGTTCTGTCACGCATAGGCTCTTTGCAACAGATCCGAGAAAATACCCAGACAGATTTCCAGGACCAATCTACCACGGAGGCTCACCGCGAGCCCGGTGGTGCCCCATTATCCGTGCACTTTGACACATTGCCAAGCTCTACATCAGAAGGGATGGTTGAAATACCGGCCAATGCACCACGGAATTCTGATGTTCTCCCAACCACGACAATCATCTTGTCCAAGCATGGATCACACAGTGCAGCGGTAGCCACCGACACGGAGCCCATATTGTCTGATTTATTTGAAGTGGTCGAAGAGCCCCGGGACCTCGAACGTCCTCAGAGCACAACGCCACCTCCAAGAATCTATGCTAGAAGCGCTACTGGTGACCATTTTCATCGCGCGCCAGAGGCTCCTCAATCAACACTTGAAGCTGGTCATGATGACATAATAGAGGAGTGTCAAGAGTAGAAATGTGAAGGACATGAGGGCCGTCAAGCTCGTGGCCGTCGTTCGAGGTTCAACATCCTTGGAAAGTTGTGATCACACGCATATAAAATGCCGCTGAGACGAAGACAAACCAACTGACTAATAAGTTCATGTTGGATTCTGTTGGATGCTTCCTTACCATTCTCCATTCTCATACACTATTTGATTCACCCTCGACGCCATGCGTTGTAGAGGCCCTTCCTGACTTCCATACCATATGACGCTTCCGCACGATTAACGATTTTTAATTGGCTGACTAGGCTAAACGATCCCCTTGACCACCTTAGCTAATCACTTACGGTACACATTTGGGTTACATCGTCCAAACTATTGCCTGGATACAATACGTACTGACCAATCATTTGCTAGCGCATAGGTTATGAGCCCTGTGCTAGAGGCACGAAAACATACGCGACGCGAAGGGCTCGCGTTTATCCAGCGGGAAGACAACGACAAGTAAGAGGATTACTAAAGAGTGACTGAAGAAAAGAAACGGAGCTACGAGGCAACACTGGCAGCAGCTTGGTCATGGCAAAGCTTATTGAGGTACTAATAAGTAGTGTACTTGAAGGATATATAGGGCAGTATTTGATGCTGGGGTTGAGCAATTTCCACTGACTCTGGTGCTATGTACCAATTGTCAGTCCTCGAGGTTTTCGAGGTCTTTTTCATTACGTGTGATATTACCCTGCTGGTACCTAGTTTTCGCCACAGGGCGCCGCACAATCGTGCAGATACACTAGACGAACCAGCAGTGAGGTACGGGTCATCATGACAGTCAAACACCATTTGGGTCAGATTCGCATAGCAATCAACCATTAGTACATTACCTTTTACTGCAGGTAATTTGGCCCTGGAAGTCGGCATTTTGTTCCTCTAAAAAGTAATGCGCTATTTTAGTGCACTATGGTTTTCCAAATCCGCAGGCGAATCATCTTCGGGTGGCAGACACTGAGATATGGGTGTGGGGTGAGATGAGGGATATTGATGTACCGCTCTTGAAGTGACGAGCTTTTCAATAACCGAACTGTGGATACTGGGGAGCAAAGGATTACACTTGTCGGTGCTGTCAAGGACTGAATATTTTATCATCAAGCGATCATTTATGAATAATGCTATAACGTACTGTTTAGAGTATTGAAATGTCATCTCACCGGACCTTGTAGCGTTTCCGAAAAGAACGGGCATGTGGCCATCGGCGCTGAGAAGAATGTGAGCTAAGCTGTATCTCGTCGTTGGCAGTCCTGATTATCAACACGTCTGTTAAGGAGAAGCATGCTTTACAGGTAAAACATCACTTTATTGAGCGGCGACTACAACCAAAACGACCGAGATGATGCCCCGATTGAAGTTATTTCTTCCCTGTCCAGTTTGCGTCAATTTTCATTGATGTGGCGTAGTTGACAGCGCGGCACGTAAATTTGAACTCGAGATAGTCGCGGTTGCCATCAGCTCTCAAGTGACGTTGTAAGGATAACAAGAAGTGGTCAAATTCGACCGGACTTAGCTTAAAGGCCAGTGAATTCATGAATGAAATTGAAGAGAGAGGGGGACATACATGTTTTGTCCCAGACATCGAGAAAGTTCGCGACATCAACTTTTGTTCGTCAGAGACTCTAACACAGGACTCAGTGGTCAAGAAGACTAGTCAATTCGATTAGTCTGAATTTGAATGGATGAGAGTCGACTTGGATGAATTCAACCCTTGAGAGGTTGCAGTTAGCATGATATGGCTGAGGACTGGCTCGTGGGGCATTGGGATCAGGTGAAGGTTTTACAGTAGGAACTGTGGACATCAATTCTGCAATCTTGCGACACGTTGTGAGATTTAACTTACCACTACGTGTCTGCAAGGTTGCATTTGCCTAAACCTTTGTGGAGGAAGAGAAGCTGGAGTATGTGTGACATGTGTATTTCTCGGAATATAAATCTTTGACCGGATAGGCATATTTCGACAGAAGCGATGTCAGTTGATATGCCATATAGCGATGATAGCTCGTGTTTGAAAATGAAGTTTGAAGTGGATCCGAGCCAAAGCCCTAATATTAAATATTGAGTTGTCAGGTTGATTGTTTCTTCCCTGCGGCTGCTAAGTGCCCCCTTACTCGCCGTTATCCTCATGGCAATTTCGATCCCCACCTCCCGCTCTATCATAGTATCTAAAGAGATTCTTGAAGGCATTCAAGGTCCGTGAATCCTGCGGGGTTCTACCAGTTGAACGGAACAAAAATCTAAATGTTTAGAACAGGTGCACACAACATCATTTCTCAGCTCAACTCCTCGCGGTCAATCACCAAGCTCAAGCTAAATAACAACCGACTAGGGGATGACGGTGTATCTGCACTCTTTGCGTTCCTCAAGTCTCCGGCGGCCTCACGACATCGCAGTTCGATATCGGAAATTCATCTCAATGATAATGATATAAGCTGTCGGGGTTTGCGCGACATTGCGGACTATGTGAATGGGGATGAAGTAGTACTGAAGACATTGTGGCTCGCAAACGTCAGTAATCATCCATCTTCCGGTCTCGCAAGGTGGATGAACGCTATCGTAATAGAACACGATAGGGCCTGATGCTGATGTTCTAGCCTGGTTTGCAACCACAGTAAACCACTCTCGACTAGAGTTCCTTTCGCTCACGGGAAACCATAAGCTTGGCGATGGTGTCGTTGAGATCTTCTTGCGTCACCTGAGGGCACCCCGCCTTCGGGAGTTGCATGTCAACGCCATGGGACTGACTGCCCGCTGTGCATATGGACTCGCAGAGTGGATTTCATCGGGCCATACCGGCGGAGCGTATTCCCTGCACACTCTCAAATGTAGTGGCAACAGCCTAGGGATCAAGGGCGTATGGGAAGTTATTCGCGCGATCGAGATGGGTAACTGGTCACTCATGAACGTGGAAGTGTACGCGAACCAACTAGCAGGCACAGAAATTCCGAATGACAACTCTCACATTCAACAATCAGAACATTTGTTATCCTCTGAAGCGGAGGTGTCATGGAAGGACGCGGAACGTGCTCTTCATCGGGTACTTCACCGGCGAAACGCTTATTGGAAAAGACAAGTGGAGACGGAGGCATTGAGTCTTTTAAAGTACTCCCGGACACTCATTCTTCGGTCGAAAGCTTCTCTTTCATCCACGAACAAACACTCTACCAGTGATTTGGCCAGCGAATCGTTTCCATTTTACGATCTCCCTATGGAGTTACGCCTCCACATCCTTGCGGTCCTCGCTCCTTCATTATCTTGTGCCCAGCGCACCCGTATCTATGATTATGCTGCCAACCCTTCGACTCTTCCGCTGCTTCTACCACGTCTACGGCGAGATAATGGTCACGCATGTCTCGCAGATCCCTCACGAGCTCTTGGAGCAAGTATAGGATTTACATTGCACACTTCAGGTGGTTGTGCTGAAGGGAAGTGTATGGGTACTGGCAACAGTCTTGTGTGCCGTCGGGAGGCAGAGCGCGCCAAGTTTCTGGAAGTTGTTGGATGTCGTGCATATGAGCCTGAATGCGTCACCTAAATGCGGTAGGATCACCTCAGAGGATATTTTGAAGGTATTTTATGTAATTGTTTTGTTTATGCAGTGTATGTATACCATGACTCATGTGAGTTGCTACAGCAGTAGCTCACGACTCTACTGTATATCGTGCAGGACTATGATAGTGTAGTGTTACAACCTTCATTTCCATTTCACGGTATCTTGGACGCATGTTTGCATGGACAAATTAAACCTATACTTCAACAGGAGGAGAACCTCGTCGTCGTCAATGTTTGAGCATCATTCACCAGTCCTTGAGCCCTGAAAATTGGTTACGGAGTGACATAGACACCCCTGACATGACATCGACATATTACACCTGCTTGGCGAAACCATTAATATGTAATGCGACCACAAGGCTGAGCGCCGAGGAATCGGCAGGCTGCCGCATGGAGAAATATTTTCCGGACATATATCTCACCAATGCATTGCATAGAAGCGTTCGTGTGGGATTCGGAACCAACTTTGAACTACTTCTGATCAACCCGACATATGTTGGACGTTGAGTACTGAGTTCCTAACCCGATGTCAAGTCGGCTACGACGGCGTCTTGTGTCATATTTTTACACCCCTCTAACCGAATCATGCTTACTTGAGCGTTCATCATAATGTTGACTGTTCGGGTGTAAGGATGTCATTTGACTTGCGCGGGTGTAATCAAAGTTATCAAACCTATGCGCTAGTGCAAGCTAAATCATAGATTGGTCTTGAGAACGAATCAACAAGGAGTGCAAAAAACGATCTTTGTTAAGATTCGAACATATCTGCCTTTAATTTCCTGAGAAATTCCCTCCATAGTATGGAACTTCACTCCTACATTGATTAATCGTGGGTCAGAGATAACGGTATCCGGGTATAGTCCAAACTCGGACAGAAAATCGTACTATCAAAATCTATCAGCATCAAGGTTTTAATCATGCTGAACGAGTTACGATACCAACCATGTCGTCCATTTCCTGTGCAACATGTGAATACATGTACTATATCAGAGAAAGTATATACAAACCTGCATTCCAGTGGTCGCAGAGGACACAAATGATACTGGCTCCCCCAGCGCTGACGGTAGCAGGAAGATTAGATCAACAGATTCCTGCGTTTTGATCACATACCCTGCTGGAGGAAGATGCAAATTGAGTGTAGTTCAACTTTGCACTGACGGCATAGAACGTGCGGGAGAGAACCTCTGATTCAGGATCTTTGTAATGCTTGAGAAGCGCTAATGCGCACTGGCCAAGGTTCCGCTCGACCCACGTGAAATACTGAGGGGTGTGAGCGTCGTATCTGGCCACGGTTAGCTCAAGGCGATCACAGGCGCAAGAGTATTGTACCTGCCACAAAGTTTGCATAAGCTATACGCAAGCAGTCTTTATTGCAGGATGTCTTACTTCCAAAGATTCTCCGAAAACCAGCCTTGAATGATGGGTGTCAACCACTCGAAAGACGCTAAGAATGAGAAACTGCTTACCGGTGTATAAGATAGAATGGGGTACACCGGATTCTCGGAGATACTAGTCCTTCGTGGACTGGACAGGCATTCGACAAGAGCTTTCTCTTCAGCTCTATGACTGCCTCGGCAGGCACCTCAACCAAGCTGCACCTTGAAGGAACCCGTTCCTGGAGAAGCCAAAATGGCTCCAATGACACGCTGCGAATCGACGTAGGTGCGATGGTAGACATTATGATTTACTACCCTTACTAAATGTGCTGGCATTGCGTTGAGAAGTGCCGATAAATTGAGAAATACATGCAAAAGAGAGGATGTGTATTTAAATTTGAGGGAACTCACAACATGTTGCGGATTCATTCGCACACGGACAACTACTTTTACATTCGTGTAAAGCAGGTACAAATATAGCACTTATTGACCTTGTCGAAGTTGAACAAGGCCGGAGCTGACTCTGCATTAATGTTGCACGATGCAGACACGTAGAGTATGCGTGGTGTAAAACGTGTGGGAGAGAAAGCGCAGAAGGGGCGTTAACAAAACAACTGCAGTATACATAATGTGAAGAGGAACGAACGAAAAGGGGTGTGGAGGCCGATAATTATGAGTGGATACAACATTCGCAATTTCGGCGACTCGAGGGAGGACGAATGGTAGTGACCCGTTTGGTAATTCATCCACATTTTCAATAGAGTAGATGGACGAACAAAATATCTGAGACAAAACTGAGAAGAGACGGTGCGAAAAGAAACATGCACTTCTCGATCATTAATTGGAGGCTCCATGCATGTGGTAGATTGATGGTTTATCCTGCATAATTATCAGCCAGCTTTGCCTATCTCACCGCAAATTGGACCAAGACGTGAACGTGTGCCAGTGCGTCGAATTACTTACTGGCAAGATGGTGGTGACAACAAGAGCCACTGTCAAGTTGCTGTATAAGTTGTAACCCACCCCACACGCTTATTAAGCAGTTGTTGACTCTTGAGCTCTTGAGTCAGCCTTCTAAGAATCTTCAGCTCGCTCGCGGTCGCAGACTCCAGAGGGCTCAAACAGCACTATGGCGACCAAAGAAGACCAAGAGTCGCTACGTCTTCTTGTCCAACACGTCTCCCGAGGATTCTATGAACCAAAGTTCACTATCATCATGGACCAGCTAGCCCGTCATCCGGTGTAAGTATCTAGAATGTGGATGAAACAGAGCCCGTTAACCTTTCACCTACGATGTGTACCCATGACCACTAATTTGGCACCAGTCTCAAGGATGACGACCTGGCCGGGCGGATGGGCCTTCAGGCGAAAGAATTGAATAAACTTATGGCTGTTTTAGGGAACGACCGCCTGGTGCAAGTGTAGGTGTAGTCATGATTATTTCTCCGCAATCATATCTGATTTTACCTTGAAGGTACCGCCAAAACGAGCTCAAGGAAGGGGCTCAGAGGTCTGTCGGAAGACAGTACTATTACATTGACTACAAGCACTTTTGCGATGTCGTTAAATGGCGCATTGCAGAAATGCGGAGAATCATAGACTCGGGTCTCCGTAATGTCGGTTTAGACTCATTTTTTTTCTGTCACTCACTAAAACAAATGTTTCTGTTTAAAGGAACTTGACAACAAAGGTTATATCTGTCCTCAGTGTAGCAAGTCGTACACAACATTAGAAGTTGACAAGCTAATGGATTTTTCGAGAGGAATATTTGTGTGCGAGGATTGCCGCGCAGAAGTTGTGGAGAATGAGAACGCGGAGAACGTCAGGGGGAGTCAGGACCGGATGCAGAGGTTCAACCACCAGATGCGGTTTGTTGTCGAAGGATTGAGAAAAACAGAGTCTATGGTCCTTCCAGCGTGCGTATCTCAGTACATCAATCGCATATCCTTCCTGACGCAGTATGTTGTAGGCTCGATGTTCCTACTTGGGTCAAAAATAATGTCGGTGATGTTGAAAAGCAAAAGACTGGCCAGGTGTCAGGTTTGAAAATAGCAGGATCTGGGCCTGGTGGGAGACAAGAAGATGGTGTTGGCATAGTCATGTCAATGGACAAAGACGAAGCAACGAGACGGCAGGAACGAGATGCCGAGGCAGCGGCAAAACGACAGCAAAACGCTCTGCCAGCATGGCATTTGAAGAGTACTATCACCGGAGATCTGACAGCTCTTGGCATGCAGGAGAGTGCGCGTGCTGTGGCGAGAGAAGGCGAGGGTCTGCCAGTATCCAGTGACGACGCTCTGAAAGGACTTGGAACTATCGGCACTCAACCGCGTCTACTTCAACTAACGGCAGTGACGGAAGATGTGAAACCAGAAATCAACCAAGAAATGGATTGTACGTCGTTTGCGATGTGAATTCTATATCATTATGATGATCTAACGGTATACAGATTGCGATCAGTACTATGCCTCGTTGGCGGCCTCTAATGCAGTTTCCTCTCAGAACACGCCCAGATCTGGCCTCGGAAGCGAAGAGTTGGAAGAGGATGATCAAAAACCCTCTGTGCAGTACCTAGATTCCCTAAATGATTACAGGAAGCGGTCCCGATCAAAAGAGGACGAGGGTGCTGCGGCGACAAAGTTGCCCAAAATCGATGTCCCAGAACTAGAACCAGATATCACTGATTCTATGATGGAGGTAAACGGGGCAGATGATACCCCTGTATTAGGTGGGTTTTCGTTCTCTACATGAAGGATTCTAGTATCCTCATCATTGTGCCGCCTTCGCAGTTAACGGTGTCTTGAAACCATTTTCGGAAGTCACTGATGAAGATACCGAACTTATGACACCCGACGAGTATACCGCTTACTACGAAGTTTTGCAGTCACGGTCGTAGACCTAATTTATTTAAGCTACCCTGGATTTAAGTGGTTGATGAAGGGAAACACTATAATTTGTTGTACTGATCCAAGATAATATACGCATTCTCGTGTATGATGTACTGCCGACGTTCGAGTTGGTCACACCTTCTTTGCATTAGTCGAACTCCCTCAGGCCTCAGACCGTGTAAAGAAAACTTAAGTAGGGCCTGTCCCCGATGCAACTGCGGTATGGTGACCTGGTCGTGACATACTCCAAGCCTTCAAGTTCAACACGTGATTCGTACCTGAGCCCGGGAGCATATTCGTGTCCATGTTCTCACCAGAACCGTGACCTCTCCGCGACAACTCAACCTTGAGGAAAACGCGCCCTCATGTACTAGAGCACATCTGACGCTCACGAGTTCGATAGCGAGTCAACCATGGAGTGTAACGTTTTCAACCCAGTCGATTTGCCTTGCGGTCGTACTATCGAGAACAGGCTGGTGAAGGTAGTGTTTCCGTCTACATAATTCGAAGACAGTTGTTTAAAACAGAGTTATTGTCATAGACAGCTATGTACGAGCACATGGCAAATTTCTCTGGTGGCCCACCAAACGAATTCCACTATGGCTTATACTCAGAATGGGCAAAGCATGGATGGGGAATGATTCTCACTGGAAATGTTCAGGTCTCACCTCAGCATCTGACCTTGGGCCGTGACATCGTCGTGCCACCCACACTCGATGCAGAGGACGTCAAACCCTTCAAGAAGTTGGCGGAAGTCATCCACGGAGCTGTTGATGGCACGCGCTCCCTGGCTATCATGCAGCTATCGCACGCTGGACGCCAATCAGCGAATTTTATTGGTGGTCGACCGCCGTTTGTTCCACCCCTGGCCCCCAGTTCTGTCCGTGTTGGGGCAAGACATGATGAAAATCGTGGAAGGGGCGTGATATCAAACCTGATATTTCATGCGTTGTTCCAAGTTCCTATGGAGATGACCGCACTGGACATTCTACAAGTCCAATCCAGCTTCGTGCGAGGCGCTCTCTTGGCGTACAAATCAGGCTTCGATGGAATCCAGCTTCATGCTGCCCATGGATGTGAGTCGACATGATATTTGTGTTGATGTATCTGGGTCGAATTTGAATTATTTGCAGATTTACTGGCACAGTTCATGAGCCCTAAGGTGTGGCCACTGTGTACTTCCAAAAGTTAACTACAATTCCGCGTCAGAGTAATATTCGGAGCGACAAATATTCAGTAGCACCGGAAAACGCCACTCGCATGCTGTCCGAGATAATTGAAGCTATCCGCAAGGTGGTGCCGACTACTTTCATAATCGGAATCAAAATCAACTCGGCTGACTACGTAACTTCTGGAAACGCCGAAGAAGTATCTCAGGAAGGCGAACGGCGTGTCCTGGATCACATCCGCACCATTGCAAGTTGGGGTGTCATCGACTTTATCGAGATTAGCGGAGGCGATTACGAAAAGCCTGGTATGGGGGCGTATAAGGAGAATGTTCCCCAGTCTAACCCGATCTCTTGCTCAGACTTTATGGCATGCAGTGGATCTCAAAAACTAGACCGCCAAGCCTTCTTTGCGCAATTTTCACGGACAGTCATGAAGGACCTTCACCGATCGCCTGTCCCTTTCTCTTCTGTCCCACCCATTCTACTGACTGGCGGCCTCCGTTCCCATTTTCACCTACATGCTGCCTTGATGTCGAAGCACGCCGACTTGCTAGGCATCGGAAGATGCGCTGTCCTCTGTCCCGACCTGCCCAAGATCCTACGACTACAGCTACAAAATAACAAATCTTCTAGCACTTGGGCTAATAAACCCTTTACACGCGAACCAGAAGCAGTGTTTAAAGCTTCTAAATGGGTACCAAGTGTGAAGCTCATTGGCAGCGGCGTCGGGACTGCATGGTATACCACTAGAATGAGGGACATTGCTATCTCCCAGATCAAGAACCCTAGAGCTGAACCACCACCCGCGGACTACAACAGAGGAGGATTAATCGCTGTGTTCACGATGTGGGCTTGGTTCGACTCTAGAATAACCCCGATTTGGGTCCTAGGAATACTCATGGTCCTTGTTGTCACGGCCGGGTTTTCTGTCAGCGCTAAAAATGGCGTCATCGGTACACCGGGCTGATCGGGACGGTGCGGCCTCCGAGCAGGGTAGGAGGGCCGAAGGCAACTTGGCGCTCCATTTCTTGTTCCCAAGGTAGTAGCCAATTCCCACCAATTGTCACATCCCAGCTAGGAGACACTGAAGAAAATCGTACATTTCATAGGACGGACTGCTCATCACTATTCGATATGTGTTTGAGTTGTGCAATTTGATCCAGGGCTCTGACTAGCTGAACAAGTTGATCTGAAAAGTAATTTACAGCAGCTTGTCATTCTCAAATATCATTCCGATGTATCTCCGCGCGCAACGTCATCGAAAGAGTTGTGCTGATTCAGCCTCTTTTTTTATCCAATTTTATATCCATTGAGAGTGAGAACTCTCTGTTGGACAGTACTAACTGGTCTTGGAGCCCCGTGCTCCGTGGCTTTCTTCAAATCCCGAAACGCACTGATGTAGGGCGTACCCATGCGTTAGTCTGCCGTTCTCGGATTCAACCATTAATGTTCTCATTTCTGATCTCGCCTTTTCACACTTGTGCCGAAACCAGTCACGGATGATCATATTCTTGGAAGCCTCGTTATCTTGCTAAGACAGTCACTTCTGGGGATGCTACCCTGTGTTGTCTGGCCGGGGCTTTTTCGGTTTCCCCGGCTGCAAGTAGAACCGTCAAGGTGATAAGGGGTGATAAGCCCCTTGGAGAAACTCATCACATCCGTATTGTTGTTCGCAAAGCATGCGCCTTTCGGCACATGTGGTCCGTTGAAGGCATAAGGTGAAGGTCGTGACTCTCGCGATTGTCACTGCTTGGTAAATATAGCTCTGAAGAGGGCTATAAAGTTAGGGTGTGCCAGGCCATCAGCCTGTCAATTGATTCTTGTATATTGGTATCAGCATGCCTGCAACAACATCGGTCATACTCAACACTGGAGCAGTTATGCCCACGGTCGGTCTTGGTGAGCACAGCCGAAAGGCGAACCATCTCATGTACTGAACGCTGAACGCTTGCGAATATAGGCACATGGAAGTCCAAGCCCGGCCAAGTCGAACATGCTGTTGAATTCGCCCTGAAGAACGGATACAAGCATATTGACACTGCCGCTGGATACCAGAACGAAACAGAAGTCGGACAGGGGATCAAGGCGTCTGGTCTGCCAAGAGACCAGATGTTCCTGACTACGAAGCTTGATAATTCCGACCAGAGGCATCCGGCAAAAGCTCTTGAAGCATCACTCAAGAAACTCGATACTACTTATCTAGACCTCTGTAGGCGGCAACCCGTTCGCCGATCTTGACGAGGACTAATTCCTAGAGCAGGGCTCATGCACTGGCCAGCTCCCATGACAAGAGATGGCCAGGCGGACAAGGAACACGACTGGTTGGACACCTGGAAAACTATGGAAGACCTATACCTTTCTCACCCAGAGAAACTGAAGGCCATTGGTCAGTGGCCCAACCTCATGTGCTATCTTTGTACTAAAATGCATCAGGTGTTTCCAATTTCTCCGTGGAGTACTTTGAACGTTTATTGAAAGTTGCACGCGTCGTACCGGCCGTGAACCAGATTGAGCTTCACCCGTAAGTCAAATAAATTTGTTTTTGAGTACTTTGATCGTGAATCATTGCTCGTAGTTCGTGTCCTCAAGATGACGTCGTCGAGTACTGCCAGAACAAGGGAATCGTAATGACAGCTTATTCTCCGTTGGGATCCGACAATTCCCCCTTGTTGAAAAACGAGACTGTTACAAAAATCGCAGCGAAGTATGATGTGCAACCCGCCAATGTGTTGATATCCCTTCATGCAAACAAGCCCATGCACACTGGTGCGTACTAGTAATCTTCATGAACATTCTCGATGGAGAGATTGGTTCTCAATGATATAACAGTGCTTCCCAAATCCGTGACCAACGAGCGTATCTTGAGTGAGATGTTATTTCATCATTAATTCTGGCTGTTATTCATTATTATCCTCAGACAATGCGAAGATCATAGATTTGACTCCTGAAGAGATTGGCGAGCTTCATGATATTGATAAAACACATCATTTCCGTGCTTGTCACCCTTCTTGGACAGGTTTCGGTGGTCTTGGATTCCCTGATTGCAAATAGATTTATGGATAGTCGAAATGTAGACGCAGAGGGTGGGCCTTTCAAGATATCCTCCCATCTATGAAGACGCTGCATGCAGATACTCCACTTCCAAAGAGCAACTGAACTCCGCCATAGACTCGGTACTCGTGCCTGTATGTTTCTGTACCTGTGCATGACAATGCCTGATATGATGATGAAAGTTATGAAACTGTCGAACGATGCTACAACACAAAGGACTGTCAAATTTTCATACGAAGGACTGAAGCTAAATCATACAGACGTTGCATGCTTCGTTAGAAACGGGCAGCACCCGCCACCCAGCGATGCGCCTATTGTTTTCTGTCACTTACAATTATCTATTCTTATGACGTTTCAGTGATTGTGTCTCCTGCCAGTGAACCATTTATTTGTTATAGCCGACGCCAATTGCCTTTTGTTGCCGTCCTTTTGATCTAGGACAATAAAGACAACCTTTACTTATAGCCCCAAATGATTGGCCTGCATCCCTCATACATTTGCGTTCCTGGCGCTCGACTGAGGTGAGATATCCTTTATTGACTCGTACTTGTAACGTTACTCACGCTACGTAGAGAATTTGCTTGCTCTAGATCCATGTGGGCTTTGTATAGATCCTATGCAGTTGGGCTTGCAATACCGAACATACTAAAAGTGTGCCAGTTGATACATGCAAAGATTGCATGTAACGATTGGCACACTTTTCTTCCCAGGGTGTCTCAGGGGGGTTGTCGAGCGTTTCAAGGGAAACTTTGCGCAATAACTCGCAAACAACATAGTGGTCATCCATTCTGCAAAGGTGTCTAGAGAGTGCCGCTAGATCAACATTTCACACCTCACTTTAATGACTGTTCTGGCGCTCTCATGCGGGTATGAAACTTGTCTTCAGTCATTCCGAACGCTTTTTTTCATACAAAGTATTATCATTCATAGAGTAAATTCATAGGCATAGTTGAGTAGGAGTTTGGATAACAAGGGTGACTGTTGCATGGCTGTGCGGAAACGCATGGTGCCTATATATCATTGTGATAAGGCGGAATTATTACTATCGAAATTACAGAGGTAAGCATAAGTATTGGTATACCAATGGGCTGCGACTCGAATAATCGTCAAGATGGTAAGTAGGTATTAATGAGTACTGAGAAACTATGCACAAGGAATAAACCATCCCAGTGCACCTCCTACATAATGGAATCATAGGTACATGTGGCAGAAACTGTTAAGCTTTTAAGATCTGAAACATGATTCTGAATACAATCAAAGATAGAACTATAGCATCGGAATCACCTACACCGACTGATGCATTCCTTAATCTTCATCGTCATCATCAAGTGTAAGGCACTGAATGACCGCGCTGGCTGGAATGAAGCCAACACACAGATACTCATATTTGTTCATTGCTTCAGGTTTGATATGTGCACCGGTATATTCAACAAGATCGCACATCCAGTGCACATCTGTGCCTTCTCTTTCCAGCTGCGAGCTGTCTATCTTCGCAATCGAAACAGCCGAACCTCTCATGTTCAACAGAGTCAAAGCAAATTTGAGAGCATTGACGCGTGAGGACGTCACAGATATAAAGGGAGTTCGACGTCGATTACTCCAATCCATATGTAATTCTAATTGACGCCGGGCATTCCGATGGTTGCGGCTGTAGACAGCATCAGGTATGCTGGCCACAAAGGTGCCAGAACGATTCAACTGGGAACAAGACTGCTCATCAAACACTCGGTAGAGATATCGTGGGAGCTCTGTCTCGTCTTTAGACATCTGAATAATTGAGAACGCACGACAAATATACACGGCACCTTGTGAATACGAAGTGGTATGATGTTCAGTGAGTGTGGGAACCGAGCCTGACTCCACTCTTAATTATGTAAGTTTACAGTTCATTACATAATTGTTGGGGCAAACTACAGTGTACAGTGTACACCACCTTTTGCCGCCAGTGAAATTTTATTCGAAAGATAATCCAAAGTACTTGCTCTGAACGCTCTAGGCTAGGTCTGGAATGGTCCAGCCAGGTCCAGATCTGCTTTTGATCGAAATCTTGCAAGAGGTAAAACGTTGAAACCGTGAAGAGGCGTGGCTATTGTGACTGTACCATTGTTCTCTTTCCGACAGATTATGGCAACGCTACCTCGAGCCATCAAATCAACCTCTATAGTTTCGGGCAACGATACGTGTCCACGTTCTGACACTCCCTTTGACGTTGGAATAATCTCTTCCAGTGCATGGACAGAGCATTTGGAGTGCTACTCATTATCAGACGATGAGCCTGAGCCGGCAGATGAACATCATGAACTGCAGCCTGTCGAAGAGCCCGTCAAAGCAGCTCGTGCGCTCTACAAGTTTGAAGGAAAGGCTGAATTCAGGGAACTGACCGTCGAGGCTGGAGATGAACTGAACATTTTGAAGGAAGAAGTCGGCGATGGTTGGAGTTTGGTGAGAGTGAGCTCTGGTGAAATAGGGCTGTTACCTCAGACATATTACACGGTGAGTACTGATCATACTAATCGCTCGATGTTCGTACGCTCATCTGGCTTATGCTGTCCGTGAAGTGCACGACTAGTTTTCTTTCTGCACCGTTAGCCGTTCATGCGAGAAACGAGCCATCTACCAGCACGATCACTCCCAAAGCATCTTTGCAGCATCAATCGAAGCCACTTTCTATCGTCCCTCAGGATACTGGTGAATGGACGAACCCTCTCCCAAGTTTCAGGCAAAGCCTTCTTAGAGGCAAGACTTTGAATCGGTTCTCCGGGTTCGTGACAAGCGGTGCAGAAGAGTGGGTTCTCGAGGGCTATGTCGATCCAGTCACTTCAAGTTCATCCTCTTCACACCAGCGGATTTCTACGGAAGACTCCATCAACGATGATAATAGGCTCAGTAGACTTGGGCTGGAGGAAGCAGACAGGCACTATGTTGACGCTGGCCCTGCGTGGCAATCTAAAGTTCCAAAGTTTCGAGTCTTGGTTCACTCGCCTTCGAAGCGCACGTCGGGCCTTTCAGGAGCATATACCATGTATAGTGTCACTTCACTGTTTTCTTCGGCTACAGATGAATCATATGATCCATACATCCCACCGATCTCTCCTACCCGCATAACAGTTCAACGGCGGTTTTCTCACTTCATCGTGTTACACACCTCGCTAACTAGACGTCTTCCTGGTATTGCACTCCCACCACTTCCTGAGAAACAGTATGCTGGCCGGTTCAGTGCTGATTTTGTCGAGGCTCGTAGAGGCGAACTCGAGAGATATATTGGGTGTATTGTGAGGCACCCTGTTGCACGATATGCAGAAGTTGTCACGTCTTTTCTTGGTTGCGAAAATGATGCGGTGAGCGAAGATGATGGGTTCACTTTTGCTTTTTAACCCATATCCAAGGATTGGAAACGGATTATGCCCCAATTACTTTCAATGCCTGCGGCTGGGCCTTCATTCTTCGCACATGTTTTTCATCCCGCATTCAACGTAGACTTGGACGATGCCACAGAAGTAATCGATCGCTTCAGTCGTCACACCCTTGCAGTGGGCAAGAGCACGCAGAGCTTGAGAAACGTTTTTGGTCGCATTCGTGAAGTGAGACTAGGTGAGTACGGGCGTCAGTTGTGCCAAATTATCATCACAACGTGCTTTCCAGAGATGTCGAAAGCCGAACGATTGTTGTCGTACTCATTATTGTCGCTGATCACGTCGACACCTTTGTCTTCTACGCCCCTGGGGATTAACGAAGATCCGGGGGACACTCCTCAACAGAGAAACGGCCTCTTGAACGAAGAAGGAGCTTGGTGTTGGCGTGAAGGCTGCCAAGGTGCTCACGTGAATTTCTGGAGTTCATGACTAACTGAGACATGACTCGAAGATTGTCTGAAGCTCACAAAAGCGATGCAGAAAACATCAGATGGTCTGCAGATTGTTGCAGACCTGTATGACGATCATGTCTGTGTCATGTTCCTTATGCAAGACTTGTACTAACCACAGACGAAGGCCCGGCGTACCCAGCTTGCAACTCACGACGCCTTCAAGAGCGTTGCTCATCCATACCAATTGTATGAGGTATCTTGGATTGTTCGATCACCGTCTTTGCCCTGAGTGTGATCGTTCCAGGGAATTGTTGAAACCCACCAATCTACTGTTTCACGATATAAAGATGCTCTCAAATTGGGCAAGGTCGGAACGTTCACAATTTTTGTGGAAGACGATGGTTTGATGCATATGTTCAGTCAAGCGATGAGATGGCCGCACGCTGCGAAACTGTCTTGAACACTACGATGGCTGAGATGGATACGTACCACGACCAGAAAGTGGAAAACTTTAGCACAATAACGAGGGAGCATCTTGATGGAGAGATACACTTTTACGAACAGGTCCTGCACAAGTTGAAGGCAGCCCGGCGCACCTTCGACGCTCCGCGTTTTGACGAGCTGAGCAGGTCACCTCGTCAACCTTCAAGACATGAGCGGGATTTAGAAGCCCCGAAGCTGAATCCTCCACCACTGCCACAGCCCTGTCCTCATGTCTATGACTCAGCGTCTACTATGAGGCCAGTGAATACGGCAATACACAAGGGGATCGGAGCACTACTAGGAAAGTCCCAGCCTGGTAGGAAAGGGAGTCTTTTGGGAAGAATGTGGGCTGAATAAAGTACCTGATGCGGTATAAAAGCTGTTACTGTCACTTCAGGGTGTTGCGTGGCTGACTTCGTTGCATCTAGAATGTTATCAGCAGTTTCCGACACAAAATAGGGTCGACTTACATGAAACTCTCAATTCTTTATAGCTACTGTGTCCAGTCGATTTGGAGACGTTCCGTCTATACCACAAAATGTACGTCTTGGGTCGCGTCTTATTTTTTGATATTTGATCCTCCCTCAGGGGTTTTGTTTAAAAGGTACCTTGTCGTTTGGCTCGCGTCCTCGAAGAACACTGCCCTCCTGGTGACAAGCTCCATGCCGTCCGAGACTATCTACATTACTATGATACTCTTTACTACCCTCAATGTCATCTTGTATGTTTAAAACACTCGAAAACTGTGGCACGTGGCTCAAAGTCTCTCTTGCCTTGCATTTTCCTGTGCGACCTGTTGCTCTTCCACCTTTTAGCAGGGGCTCCAACAAAATCTCTTGGTTGATGCCTCATTAGTAGTTTGATAGGTATGCTTGAGGTCTTCTGACTTGCAAAACTCCAATTCTCTAATTCTCCGGTCCTCACTCAGCAGACCTCATCTCATTGCCATGCTCATTCGTGATAGAGGCATACGTTGATCCAGGAGTCCGCGCGATTCATTCCTTTTTATTCTCCGTGGCCCAGATAGAGGACAACGCATTTGAGCACCAATGAGTTATCAGCCATCTGGGCTTCACGCTTCGCAGTAACTTCGTTATCATCTGTGTGCTCAGATAGCGGAACTCCGCAAACGCGTAGAATTTGCTGTCTCGGCAATTTATACTGATTCTCGTTGTATTTTATTATCGAGCGTCAAGGACTGGGCTGGCTGTTAGACATTCTGAATAATTTCGACTGGCCACATGGTGCAAGTTTAGCTACTTCGCTCCAGTAGTAGTACAACAAGAAATAGGTCTGCCTAGACCTTTCAATTATGAAACACTACATGTTAAATAAATATCTCGACGGATCCTCGACCCAGGTTCTCCTCCCTGCAGACCACTCGCCAAGCATTTCGCTACACAGTACTGCTAGTTGGTACAAGTACACGCTCCTGGAAGACAATCGAATTCAAGCTAATTTCTGCATCAGAGTTGGCCACGAGTGTAGCGTGGTATTCTCGAACGCTAAGGATGAGGCGTGGTCCCAGCACAAACATCTGCATGGACTGTGAAATTTGAGCAGCATTAACAAGTATCTGAATTCCCATAGATTGTGTATTCTACAGAAATGATTAGCAGTGGTGACAAGCAGACGTCAGCGACAGGTCGGCGCACCATGAGCTGTGCAGAACTAATAGCAATCTCGAGGCAAGAGACCCAAACAAAGCTAGCACGCGCGAAACTTGAGAAAAAGATGACCGCATTTACATTACAAGCTCACCTTGCAAAATAAAGCACGTGAGATCTTATCAACACTCTGAAACAGTCCCCGGTTGTCGGTCCTATCGATCGGCGGAGTCGTCCCAGGTCACGGAAGTGTTTTACGGCAATCCAGACTGAAAGACACAGTGCGAGGATCTCCCAGACAGCGTAGACCATCCAAAACATCAAATATGCAAGTTGGTCGCCCCTTTCAGGTTCGTTATCGCACATGTACGTGCCAGAGAGTATTAGCTCCTCTGATGTTTGTCCAATGAGCTCTGTTCTTCAAGTCAACAAGTAAAGCTTACCCGCTACACTGTCCCTGGTCGCTATTGTTCCGATTACTGCGCAAGCAATGGTAGCAGCCAAAAAGATAACAACAAGAAAAATGAGCATCATTCTGGATCCCAGATACATGGCATATAAGCGAGCAATCATGATGACTTGCATTGTGTTTTAGTCGAGTCAATATCACAGAGGTATTGCAGCTGGGTGACTTACCGCCCAACATGATATATATGACCCCATTTGTCCCATTCTGAGCACGATTCATAAGTTTGCCTAAAACACTCAATTAGTGAACACCCTTGTGCTGGTATCAAAAGCTCCGACTTACACCTATTGAGATATTATGTTGAGCCAAGTTGGATGGTCAGAATCTCACTCGCCACTAAATACTATGAGCGTAGGAATGAGATGATTGTGTAATACTCACTGTATCCGTCAGTGAAACCAATGGCAAATAACCTATGTGCCGCCAGCCTGAGTCAAAAGGATCGAACACAGCACATATGAGACGTACCCAGAACAATGATACTAATTGTCAGAAATGAGCGATTAGCACGGTGATAAGTTGTTGGTCTCGACACATACACAGAATATGGTATTCCAATATAACGTACCTGAAACATATTGAAGTTAGTATAACCTGCCAACCACACTAATGATATAACATAAGGTACGAACAACCAAATACAGCACAGTCATGAGAGACCAACGTTGCCTCTGTCGCGAATTTGTTGTATTCTTCTGTTTTCTTCTGATACGGGAATTTGTCACTCACCCATATCAGTTCAATCTATGGCACCGTTCTCAGCAAGTTGACTGCTCCGACGATAACATCGACTTACCTCTTGTCCCAGTGTTAGTGCTAGAAACATTATGAGAATAGTATCAGCAGTTATCGAACACTATTCCGCTCACCCCAATCATATACTACCATGACGCCGGCAGCAACTGCGAAACTGCGAGTCAATGTTAGAACTAGACATCTTGATGTGACGAACCTGTCCAATAGCTGAAAATCATATTTGAATTGATTGTTGGCCACCAACTGGGATCATTGGAGATTACGGTCATATTTGAGAGATGGGGGTGAGCGAGTGGGAGATGGTGATGATGTATAACGGTACTTCCGTGCTGAATATATAATCAGTCGAATTTGGTTTGCAACCCAGTACTATTGCGCAGGCCATCAATGCATCACACCAGGAAAGTTCCAGTCGTTGGTGGCGCATCACTGAAATTCAGCTAATTTTGTTTGGCCATGATACTTATACCCTGACAATGCTGACATACCGGTGTATTGGATTATCAAGTGCACGTGATAATATCGTTTTTGGACCATATTCTCCTTCCATGCAGCGCTTGATATGCCAATATAATGGTATATCAGGCGACAGACGAATGCTAGGATTTTTGCAACTCTCGGTCTCATCGGAACCTATTGGACATGTTGCAAACCAGTACTATTGCGCAGGCCATCACTTGAACACCAGGAAAGTTCCAGTCGTTTGAGAGTGATCCCGAGCCTAAGGTGATGCCGGCAACTTCCATAAGTATTTCCGACGTGATTTTGTGCAGCACACTCCCGGACTCCGAGTCTGTTCGCTCGGCCTCGCTGGCTGAGTCCGATGCGTAACAGCGGTAATAAGTAGTAGACTTTGAATAGAGACATAAAGATATTATAGCTAACATCATATCGATTGGCCAGAATCCATTTTTGTGGAGCTGGCCAAACAAAAGGGTCCTGCCTATTACGATACCCCAGACTCGGAAAGGCACTGGACTGCGCTCTCATTCGACAGTTAGAGCTGTAAATAGACTGAATTCCAATGTAAATAATGGTACAGTTTATTTAGTATGTCTCATTAATACTAGTACTAGTATGTTACCGGTCCTCGAACGGACTTGTTTCTATTCCGTGCTGTGCTCGTACTATGTCATTACTCATACGACTCAACAACTTGGGGCCATTCTGCGGTATAGCACCAGAGAAATCAACCAAGAAACCGTGTCACAGAGTGGGTCAAGGTGGAGCAAATATATCTCATTATTCAATGCATCGTGCACTTGATGTTATGCATGGTAATGCCCAGTGAAAAGTCGCAAGAGCCGCTGGAGAGAGAGCCAGCGAGGCTCAGTATAGACACAGCGAGAAAACCGCTAAACGATACAAAGATAACATATACGTGCAACACGTCGTACAATTTTCAAGATTCTAGACAGCAAATCGCACTCATCTCACAATCGGGATAATTGCGTATGATAAATGCTGATATATGTGATACCATAAAGCACTCGGTACGGCATTGAAATGCATATGCTCTTACTACATGTCAAGATCATTGAGACCATTTTCTATGTATTACTAGTACTTTTAGGATCAAGGCTACGAGATTAAAGTTACGATGACAGTTGGATACAAGCAAGTGTCTGACAATAGGAGCGCAAGATGATTATTTTTCGGAAGTTCCCTATGTATAATATATATCATATGTTTTTCTCCGAAACTCAGAACAAGTCCGCTAGTTGTGCTTTGTAAGCACGCGTGTTCTCGGCTCGTGTTCTCGGCTTGTAAGCCTCAACACTCCCCCTCAAGCCGAACTCATGCCCAAATCATTGGTAAACTTACAATGTTTCGGCTTATATAACAGCTTTGTTAATACGTCTGTGATCATCTCATCAGTGTGGCAGTACTGTTCTTGAATCACTCGATCTTGGATCTTTTGCCTGATGTAATGGTCTTTCACATCAAAATGCTTGGACCTCGCGTGGTACTGTGGGTCTCGCGCTATTGCGAGTGCGGACATATTGTCTCCGTGGAGAATTGTTGGAGCTTGTTGAGGTAAGTTTACCTCTTCAAATAAATTTCGGAGCCATACTGTTTCACGTGTCACGTGTGCCATTGCAGTATATTCTGCTTCCGTCGAGGAAAGAGAAACTGCGTTTTGTTTTTTAGAGCTCCAAGTTATTGCTCCGTCTCCAAGTTTGAAGACGTATCCTGATATTGATATCCTATCTCTTGGATCGTTCGCAAAGTCTGCGTCTGACCATCTGACAAATTGAATTTGGCTTTTGTCAAGTTCTCTGGTCCCTTGATATTTTATCCCGAGTTCTCGCGTTCCAGACAGGTATCTTAATACACGTTTTGCTGCTACCCAATGCGCTAATCCAGGGTTTGCAGTAAACGTGCTAAGTCGCTGTATGGCATACACTATGTCTGGGCGTGTAGCTACTGCCAAGTACATCATGGATCTGATCAGTGACGCATAACCATTATTACGGTTTCCCTCCTGGTCAGTCTCTTCTTTTTCGAGTATAATTTTCGGATCTAGCGGCATCCCTACTGAATTACATGACTGAAGACCTTGTTTTTGTAGGATCAATTCTATATATTTCGTTTGCGTTAGTCGGATTGACCTATTTGGTCGATCTCGAGTGATTTCGATCCCTACAATCTTTTTTGGTTCTCCTAGGTCCGTAATATCTAGTATCTTTTTGAGTTGCTCTTTTAATTGATCCATTAGACTCGGAGCATCCGCAAATAATAATAGGTCATCGACCCATACAGTTATTATCTCTGTTCCTTTCGCAGATTCTCTGATGTACGTGCATGGATCTGACTTTAATCGTCTGAATCCTATGCTTGTTAGGTGGCTATTCAACTCAAGGTTCCATTCGCGGCCCGACTGTTTTAGCCCATAGAGGGTTTTTCGTAGTCAACATACTCTGCCGGTTCCATCATTGTAGCCTTCGGGCTGTTCCATATAGACTTCCTCTTTTAGCACGCCATTTAGGTACACCCCCTTGACATCCATTTGTTGTATCTCCCAATTGAGACATGCCGTTGTGGACATCATGGACCTTATTGTCTCTAGGCGCACCACCGGCGAGAAGGTATCTGTATAGTCCATTCCCGGTATCTGTGAGTACCCTTTGGCTACTAACAGTGCTTTGTATTTGACTATTAGTTTTCTTTACGAGGACCCACTTGTTCCCAACTAGGGTGCGATCTTTCGGGGGATCTACCAGTTCCCAAGTGCCCATCTGCTCTAATTGGGTAAGTTCTGCTCGCACTGCTTGTTCCCACTTTGGCCAGTCATCTAATGTCTGTGCTTCTTTTAGTGATCTTGGCTCATGCGGGTCAAAACTGCCATTTGCAGTGAGTGCAGCAAGGACTATGTCCTCCTGATAGAGTTCTTCCTCAAGCTCATGTCGTTCGCACTCGAGGTAAGCCCATTCTGGTTCTGGGTCATTTAATTGCTGATAGTCGTGTCTTACCGTTTGTCTTTTTGATCTTCTAGGCATATCAACTTCGTCTTCATCTTCAGGGGGACGTTTCCTTTTCTTGGGTGAGTTTTCGTCGTCTCCCCTTATATAATCATGCTTATCTTCGTTTGAACTTGGACGATTACCAGATTGCACGTCGATTTGTTCTGTCTCCCCCTCACGTTGTGCATCAGGTGTAGAAGGTGTTGCGCTAGTCGATGCCTGCGCATCTACACTTTCTATCTCCCCCTCGCGCTGTGCATCGAGTGTGGAGGGTATTTTGACGTGTGTTAGGAACTTAAAGTTCCGTGATATACGGATTTGGTGCATACGGGTATTATAATATTTTATTGCTTTTGGTCCATCTGCAAATCCTACAAAGATTTGCTTTATTGACTTTGGACTCATTTTAGATTGATTTGTGCTCTCTTGGAGCACGTATACCGGTGCACCAAATTCCTGTAAGTGTGTTATATTTGGTTTCTTACCGTTCCATAGTTCCTCAGGCGTCGCACCTTGTAGCGCTCGTGTAGGTGCATGATTTCGAATGTATGCGGCATGTGATACTGCTTCTGCCCATAAAGATTCTGGTAAGTCTTTTTCAATTAGCATCACTCGTGCCAGTTCCGCTAATGTTTGGTTGAACCTTTCAGACACTCCGTTTTGCTCAGGTGAGTACGGTGCTGTTGTCTCAAGTTCAATCCCTTTGTTCTTACACCAGGTTATTAGATCATTATTCACATACTCTGTTCCGTTGTCGACTCGGAATTTCTTAGGTTGGTTATTCCAGCGCTTTTTCAGGTATGTCGCGTATTGTTTAGCCTTGGTGGACGTCTCATTTTTATGTTTCATGAACTCGACGCTGCTCCTTCGGGAGCAGTCATCAATAAATGAGATATAATATTTCGACCCACCAACTGACTGTACCCTCGCCGGTCCCCACACATCACTGTGTGTGAGTTCTCCGAGTGCTCCGGAACGACTATCTGAATTTCGCGGAAATGAGTCGCATGTTTGTTTTGCCTGTATACAGGCTTCGCATTGTGGTATGGATGAGTTTTCATCAATATTTAAACCTTCCACTAATCTTTCTTTTTGTAGCCTTTTAAGGCCGCTGAAAGCTACATGTCCATAGTGTTTGTGCCAGGTAAGCCAATCTCTGGGTTGCTCTTCTTGGGCAGTGTTTACTTTTGTTACTGACTGTATTTTTTCCCGACTCTCCAATAGATATAATCCATTGTACAGCTTCCCTTCGGCAATTGTGCGTCCTCCGCGCACCTTTAAGGTTGCCTTCCCTTTTCCCATTATAGCGTGTCCTCCCTCTCAGTCTAAACGTGTGATAGACATGAGATTATTTGAGGCACGCGGCACATATAGGACATTTTTAAGTTTGCAGGTTATCTGCTGCTTATTTACTATACTTACTAGTTCGACTGTCCCGCGTCCTTCAGCTTTTAGGGATTCATTAGCGATCCCGCTAACTTTGTGACCTTTTAGTGGGACATAGTCTGTCAATGCGGACTGAATCTTAGTAATATGTGATGTTGTTCCTGAGTCCGCCAGCCAATCATAATAGCTAAGCTTCTCAAATTCATCACTATTATTAGATACATTGACTTGGTCATCCATATTCAGGTCTTTGAACTCGACTTCTGTCTGGTTCTCGATCTCTGTTGGTTCGACCTGCATCTCTTCGCCGATGAAGGCTACATCATTTTCCTCCTCATATTGCGTGTTATCCGCAACGACATCTACATCTGTTACGATGTGCGCGTTGTCGAATTTTCCGCGCTTCTTTGGAGGGGGTTTGGACAGGCCTTGACCCGCCTTTCCTCCGCCTTTACTCCAGCAACTCTCTTTAGTATGTCCCGCTTTTCCGCAGTTAGAGCATTGCTTATCCTTGAACCAACACTCAGCTTCAACGTGGCCCGCCTTCTTACAAATGCAGCATTTCTTCACGTCTTCTCGCTTCCTCTTTCCTAGATTCCTTCCTTTGACAACAAGTGCGTTCTCCTTTCCTTTTCCTTTGCCATCCTTCTCTTTCCTCCGCGAGTTCTCCTCTAAGATAAGGGAGATTAACTCGTGCGACGTTATTGTCTTCGTGTCGCCCATCCTAATCTGATATGTTGTGGTGAAGGTATCCCAGGATTCCGGTAACGATGAGATAAGTACAGTGCAGAAGTCGTCTTCCGTCACCAGACTTCCCATCATATGTAAGGTTTCCTGTATTTCCCTCATGTTTTTTGACATACGTGGGGATGTCATCAGACTCATCACCTTCGTTGGCGGTGGTTCTATAGAACTTTTGCCGCCATGTGGTTATCGCCTGTTTTCCTCGTGATTCTTTCATGATTCTCAGTTGATCCCACATCTCTTTCGCCATTGAGGCTCCAGCTAAGTGAATCATTTGGCTATCGCTTATTGACAGCTCAATCACAGTCTGGGCCTTACGGTCTTGCATCTCCCATTTAGCTATGTCAGCTTCCCTCTGTGCCGAAACGGGGTCTGGGCCTTGCGCAGGTTTGGGGATGGTACCTTCAACTAGTGATGTGCACGGCCCGGCTTGAGGCCCTGGGCCGGCCCAAGCCGGGCCCAAATAGGCCGGGCCCAGCCCAGGCCTACGTCACGGCCTGAGGAAGGCTTGGGCCTGGGCTTGGATTTCGAGAAGCCTGAGCCGCCGGCCTGAGCTGTGGCTTTGGCATGTTTAGTGGCACTGCCATAGAAGCCTTGCCGGAGGTACATTTCCCGACTCTATTTTTGTCTTTCTTTGACTTCCATCAACTCTATCAGCTTCGACTCGGATGGTCCACATGTTGCAGTCAAAAAGCCTGCATTGGCCAACATATCCAGCAATTTCAACGCCTTATCTCTTGTCTGTTGCTACGGAAAAGTCACGGTGAGTGCCAGCGCCATGTCCTCTGCTTCGCGAGCTCGACATAACTCACTCCGCTGTCGGAAAACCAGATCTCAGTTTCACAGATCAATATTTTTCGTAAATCTGAAGCCTTTTTTGCTTCACCTTCGCAAGTGTGATGGCGCACCCAATATCTTTCAATTGATTCATGTCGGTACGTGTTCCTCTAACATCCCTACTTACTACCCACCCATGACAAGCACAGATGCCGAGCACCGTGTTGCACGTCCTGTGCGCAAAACAAAGCCAACAGCCGCCCTCCTTCAGCATGCCGAGAAGGCAGTGTTGCCATCCCAAACCAAGGCGATCAACGAGTTCCATGCTGCAGAGGCTGCTAAGCGTGCTGCTGAACGTTTGTCCCCCGAAACCACAGAATCTCCATCCACCTCTCCCATACCACCATCGCCATCTGCTGTCGACACCCACAAAAGGGTGCACCCTGAAGACTCTGACAGGGAACCTAGTGATGATGAGCGTGAAGATGCACGTACTAATCCCAAGCCTCGAAAGCAGTGCAAAACGGCCGCTGTCCCAACTGAACCAGAATTGGTTGACGCTGACGGTATTCTAATCGACATCGACGTTCAATCTCTCACGGAAGTTGAACCAGTGTTGACGCAAGAAGCCAAAACTGCCGACATCAATGCTTTCTTTGGTGCTACCTTTGATCATGCAGGGGCCAAAGGGAAGGTGAAAAAGCACAGAAAGTGCAAGACGTGCCCGTAGGTGTGCTCACTTGTATTCATACTCACACACTGATGCATGCTCAATAGGCAAGCATGTATTCTTGTGAACGAAATATCTACCCTCCGTCGTCACGCTGAGGCAAAGTTCCCTGGCAAGTATTGGAAATGGGCCAAAGAACATTCGTTTGAGTCAATGCTTCCCGGTGACGTCAAGGCCTGCAAGGACAAACAGCAGAGCATTAATGCGCATCTGACTGAGCGGAAGCTCGCTGAAAAAGTGGTTTCATATTCGGATAAGTTGTTCAAACAGGCTGTGATCGAGTGGCTTGTGGCCACTGACCAGGTACTGTGTCTCTCTTCCTACGGAACTGTATTAACGTCTCTTTATCTAGCCAATTCAAGCACTCGGGCATCTGAAGTTCAAAGAAATGATTGATGTCGCTGCTCGAGCAACCAATGGCATCAAAATTCCAGGCAGGAAGGCGACTTGTGCACAGATAGTGAGAACGTTCAAAGCTCATCTTACAGGGCTCAGGAATAGACTCAATGTAAGTAATGTTCATGATATTGCTCTATCTACTCAACTAATGGGAGATAAATGTAGGGCGCCACTGTTAAGGGTGCTATCAATACCACCTGTGATGCATGGCAGGCCGAAAATACTGACGGTTACTTCGCCATCACAGGACATTGGATCGAAGAGAAGGTTACCATGCAATGGGAACTCGAGAGTGCGCTGCTTGGATTCACTCAAGTCAACAATGCCCACACAGGCAAGCGTCTTGGTGGCGCTTTGTTCAAAATCCTTGATCGTGTTGGTGTCGCACACAAGGTAAGCTAGGTTTACTGCAAGTCTATTCGGTAGTCTTATAAATCACTGTAGCTTGGACATATCACTTGCGACAACGCCGCAAACAATGGTACCACCCTACAGGAATTCGCTAGGCTATACGAGGCCAACTACAACAAGGAGTTTCCCTGGTGCCAGCGCAAAATAAAGTATGTGCTTAAGATCATTTCTTACTTGACGAAATCGCTCATGTATCTCAATAGCTGCCTAGCTCATGTTATCAACATTGCGACACAGACCTTGATCAGCTCGTACAGCAAGTCCCCTCATTACAACCCCCATGACCCGAAAGCTCACGAGCCATCCAATCGAGACGAAATCGGCCTCGTTCGTAGCATTTGCGTTAAGGAGCGTTCGTCTGCGAAGCGAAAGGAGCTGTACCGGAATGTTCAGACCAAGGGAGGTGTGTCTCAGCCGACGCAACTGTTGATTGACATGAAGGTTCGGTGGTCCTCAACTTATATTATGCTCAACTGTGCGGAGATGAATAAGGAGCATGTCGACACTTTTGTATATGAGATGGGTCGTCAGGAGCGTGATTTGGCTAGACGCGTGAAGATTGACTTTCTGCAGCTGTCAGAAGTTGAATGGATGCATGTTGGGCAGTTTGCTGATCTTCTCTCGGTGCGTTAATTTATATTTGTTTGAAGTTTGCTACTTATCTTGGTTTTACAGTACGCTGATGTGGCCCAACAAGCTTTCTTGTCTGAACGAGGTTTGACCTTACACCTGGCGATACCAGCACTCGAAACTCTGCATAAGGCTTGGTCATTGCGTGCAGAAAGGTTAAAATACGCGCAGTTTGCTCCCACGCTTAAAGATGCAGCAGCCAAAGTGGATGAATATTATGAGAAGACAACACACTCCACTGCATACGTATTGTCAATGTGTACGTTGTTTATTTTTCGTGAACGACTGAGTCTGACAATCACACTTCAGTACTTGACCCCACAGGGAAAATGGCCTATTTCAAGAAGCATTGGCCAGAGGATCTGCACGACAGCGTGCTTTCTACTGCAGAGACAGTGGTGAGTCTTTTTTTTTTGGTCGGTATCAAGTTAATCTAAATGTGCTACTATTAGTTTAAAGCTCGTTATCTTGAGTTGAACCGAGTGACATCATCGACCTCACAGAACACAACTAAGCTAGGCAGAGCTGGCAGTCTCAAGAAGCTAATTCGCGAAGTCCTCAGTGACTCTGAGGATGATTCGTCAACCAACCCAGCACCTACCTCAATCGGTGACCCAACAAGACCATGGAGGGCTGAGTTTTTGGCCTACCTTGAGACGGTTGAAGCAGCTCCACCATCTGGCTTGTCCACCATTCAATGGTGGGGTGTATGTATATTTTTTATTACTCAGAAATTTCGCGCTAATGATAATCTTTGCTTCAGATCAATGCGCAGAGGTACCCTGTTTGGGCTTCACTTGCGCGGGACTATCTATCAATCATGTCATTGTTGGTCTCGAGCGAGCGGGCGTTCTCACAAGGCGGCATCACCATCACGAAACGGCGCAACCGGCTCAAGGCTGACATCATCGAAGCACTCCAGTGTGTTAAATGTGCGCTACGACACGATCTTCTGTTCCGGGAGCCTGAACCATCGTCTCTCGTCGAGTTGGAGTACCTGGACGACAATGATGAAGAAGCGGAAGCGGGAGCAGAGACTGGTGATGCTGTGGATGAAGAAGAAGGTTGGGACGTTTTACTTTTGGGTGATGATGCTGAGGACGTGTCAGATGTTGAGACGGACATTTAGACACATTGTAATTAGACTACCACTAATGCTTGATCTGTCCATTGGCTTCGCAAAGCTGCTCTGTCCATTGGCTCCCCCAAGCCGCGGCCTGGCTGGGCCCAAGCCCCGGCTTTGGGCTGGCTTGGGCTCACAGCCTAGGCTCTGAATTTTTGTGAGCCTAAGCCCTTCAAAGCCAAGCCTAAGCCGGGGCTTTGAGCCTAAGCCGGGCCGGAACATCACTACCTTCAACATACCCTACTATTCCTTTTTCGAACATGATGGCTTTGACTCGGCATTTCCAGCCTAGCCAGTTAGAGTCGTTCAGATGCTCGATCCGATATAACGATGATAGCGAGGAGCCAACAGCAGATTGGTCCTAGTGCTGCCGCGGTCCGGTTCGGTCCGGTTCAGAGGCTCCTGGATGAGAACCGAGAACCGAACCATGGTTCGGTTCTACAAAATCGTCGAACCCAGAACCGGACCGTTGAGAACCGTTCTTTGCGGTCCGGTTCGGTTTTTCTCTGGTCCGAACCCGAACCGAACCATAAAAATTTCAAGCACAAGAATAAACATTGACAGTACATCTACACGACATTGAATAGCTAGTCACTACATACCAGCTGCATGCCCCTCTGCCTCTACTGCCGCTGATGTATGTCCATTTTGATAGGCTGCCTTTATCAACTGCAGTGCGGAGAACGTGGCTGGTGCGAGTGCGTTGCGGCGTGAAGTCGATGTGATCCCCCCACTGGGAAAAGCGCGAGATGGATTGAGAATAATTCGGAACCTTGACAGTGTCAACCTCAAGAACGGCACTTTATGATCATCCTGACTCACCAAGGACACTTCCGAAATATTTCGGAAGTGGTAGGCCAAAGCTCAAGGCTTTGGCCGGACGAGACAGACTGTTGCCTCCTGGGTCAAGAGCGGAGGTTGGCTCGTCGACTATCACAAACTTGATGTCCTCAGACAGCATACGCATAAATGTCCGGGAGCTGCACAAGTTAATCATCACGCACTGTTTTGCGCGCCCCACCAAGTTTGCAGATCTCAAGACAGTGCCTGAGGTAGTGTCGTAGTAGCGAGTCAGAAGTTTCAGTATGGTTGATTTTCCTGAGCCATTTGCGCCGACAATGACCACCAATTGACTTGCTTTTATCAAAAAAGAAACATCCTTCAATGCATCTCTTTCAGACTTGACACCCGGAACTCGCGGAACATGAATGTGTGGTAGGATTCTTGAGAGGAGCCAGTTGGAAGACCGAGCACGAAAGGTTTGCTAGCGGTCAGTGCAAAGTCACTAATGCTAGTTGAAAGGAATGAGTTACAGGCAAGGAAATATGGATGAGGATGCTAACGCAACATGTGGCCTGGATCCAGAGAAAGTAGCGCAAGGGAAAGGAAGTGCACGAGGAGAGATGGATCTGAGTGCGTGGGTGATCAAGGAAACATATATCTGCGACATATTTAAACAAATGTCAGTGTGTGAGAGAATCAAACTTTTGATTAGTTAGTACGTACCCTCAAAAAGGCTAAAGGCAGAAGACTAGAGTGCAAATCCCGAAGTTTGGTCGATGTCGAAGTAAGTGGTGTCGAAGTCAGAGTTGAGAACGGTTCGGAACGGTTCGGCGGGACTTAGAACCGAGAACCGATTTCCGGTTCGGTTCGGGCTGACACCAGAACCGTGGACCGAACCGTCCAGAACCGGACCAAAAGTCCGGTTCGAACCGTGGTTCTGAACCGGACCGCGGCAGCACTAATTGGTCCGTCATTTTGGTTGGTTAGTCTTCGTTTGTTATATGTTTTATTATGTTATTTGCACACGAACAGGGCTCATAACCTTTTAGGATCAAGGCTACGAGATTAAAGTTACGATGACAGTTGGATACAAGCAAGTGTCTGACAATAGGAGCGCAAGATGATTATTTTTCGGAAGTTCCCTATGTATAATAGTGGTACTCAATTCAAATTTTCAAACATTTCAAAACTCGCTTAAACGCTTTAAACTCCCGGCTAAAGCCTTCAACAAACTCGGTGTCATGTGCATCAATTCAAAGTCAGGTGAATTCCGCAGGGCGGACTTTGAAACACCATGCCTCCCACTCGTCAACGTGCACGTCGTTCTGCAAGACTTCGAGCTGATGCTCGAGTGCACTCGATGGATCCTTCAGCACTCTCTGTACCTCCCTCTGAGGGACAATCCAAGGTCCCCTCCGAATCTGGACCACGATTGACCATCCAGTGGCATAACGAAACTGCCCTAACGGATGTCTTGGTGAATTATCTAACGTCTCACCCTGCTGATTGTAGGGTGCTCTTTTATTCTGAGGGGAAGAAGGCGATGTCCCCCGTCAATGACAGCCCCTCGGGCTCGGACAAAGGCCAAATCTGTAGCGTTATCGCTAAACTTATCTTCACCAATCACCCCAAATATGGTCACGCATATCACGACAATCAGAAGAAATTCCGCGATGCCATCAACAATTGCATTAACAGGTGAGTTTTCTTTTCATTTTCTTATTCATACATGCGCTAATGGAATCCCTCAAGTCTCAGAACAAAATACAAGAAGATGAAGGCTAGATTCGGTGACACAGGTGCCGGCGTGATGCCGCTTGATGGGACGGCTGCAAAAAATCTTCTGGGTGCGTCCTTTGTCTTTTTTTGTTCTCAGCTTATTTTAATCAGTTTATTGTGTTTGTAGACTCAGTTCTTTCGGAGTTCCCGTGGTACACGGACCTCGATGGAATCTGGCACTCCAATCCGTCGTTGGCCGCAAAGACTTATTCCTCCAAGCCTGGCGTTGATCACGCAGGTTCTTTCTACTCCCTGGTTCAACCGCGTGGTGGGGCTGGTCCCTCCACATCCTTTGGCGCTTCACCCTCTCCCACACATTTCAGCGCTACACCATCCGCTAGCGCTCATAATGTGTCTCCTCATACCCAGGCGCGTACATCAGATCCTCAGACCCAGGCGCATACATCAGATCCTCAGACCCAGGCGCGTACATCAGATCCTCAGACCCAGGCACGTACATCAGATCCTCAGACCCAGGCGCATACATCAGATCCTCAGACCCAGGCGCGTACATCAGATCCTCAGACCCAGGCGCGTACATCAGATCCTCTGTTTTACGGCGATCCCCCCATTGACCCACAACTCCTTCAACCTCAGACTCTTGCTCCCCCCTTCACACCCCCTCAAACACACCTTCCCGGCCTGCGCAATTCCCCCGATGTCACTATCCTGGACGATTATGCTCCTGACTCCGGGAGTGGCCCGCTTAATGCCCCCCTCGGCAACGCACTAGACTACCTCGACAACGACGACGAAGAAATGCTGGATGATACTGGTGCCGGTAGCCCTCCCCAGGTCGCGGGGACAAAACGCCACTTTGCTGCATCGCCCTCCCCTCCTCCTGATGCCCCCCAGCCGTTCGCAATTCGCACCAAACTCCCAATGCCATTATACGACAGTCGCTCGGCATTCGGCGCTCACAAGCCGTCAAGCCGTGGAGCGCGACGCAAAGGGCCATCGGACATGGCCCGCAGCATGTCTACACCCTCCTCGACGACGCGCAATACGACGCCGTCGTCGGACTACGTCATCTCTCCCACCCCGCAGACCTCGCTGCCCAACAGTGGGGGCAGCTCAAAAAAGAAGGCAAGGTCGGATGTCCAGGACCAGGTAGGCCTGGTCCGGGACGAGATCGAGAGCCTGCAGTCTAGCGCCCTGTCGCGCCACGAGAGCAAGCACCAGCGCTATCTCGCGAAGCTGGGTGCGAAGAGCGAGCACTCCCGCGACACGAAAAAGTATGAGTGGCTCCGCGACACTCGTGCACACGAGGCTAGTCAAGCTAGCCTCGTCCATCAGCGCCAGCAGGAGGACAAGGACGCCGAAATTCGCCTTCATGAGACGGATATACCGGTGCACGAAGCGCATTCGCTCGTGCTTGACAAGGAGGCCGAAACCCTGCGGCTCAAGATACAATACCACCAGATGATGCAGGGCAATAAGGCCCCAGGGTTGGATTGAGCTTTGTGAGTCTGGCATCGTTTCGTCGTCGTCGTCATCATCATGTTTTGTTTGTCGCCGTCATGTTTTGTTTGTTGTCGTCATCTTTCATTTGTCGTTGTTGTCTCTCATTTGTTGTCATCATGTTTTGCTTGTCATTGTGAGTACTTCTTGTGATTGATGTCACATAGCTACATACATGCATAGTACATAGCTACATACATGTATGGTACATATTTATTTGTGGTAGTACATGTCAAATTGAATCTGAGAGGAATTATTCAGCCCTATGTTGTGCATTTGAGTGAGGACTATCAAAGAGATCATCCATCAGCTTTGCACGAGCAGCCTGACCTGGAGTGCCATCATATGTCCTGTCACCAATGACCTCATCACCATCTGGACCCTCAAGCTCCTGAACAAAAAAGTCTTCCCCCTCTTCACGAGCCCACTTGAGAGAGCTTTCATATGTTCCATCTTCCTTGCGACGATGAGTTTCGAAGCGAATAATCATGTTGTGCAGGATAATACAACACTTAATCCACTGCACAGCAAAATCAAGGTCTTTCTCAGCCTGAATGCGGAAGCGAAGCTCTCGAAGGGACTGGAACCGTCCCTTCAAGACCGCAAATGTGTGTTCAACACGAACACGAACCTAAAAAAAATTAAATTCATTGAAAAACCAGAAGAAAAAAAAAAACCTTGGAGAGATGATAATTGAATGTCTTCTGGTCCTTTGTCAACCGTCCATTGCGAGGCTTCTTGTAGGGAACAATGCACCATGGCTCCAATGGATATGCACTATCTGCCCAAACCCAATGACCATCAGGCAGAAGGTCAGCATGCTCTTCATAGAGGCGAGTAGATCGGAAAGCGAATGCATCATGGACACTCCCGGGATGACCAAGGGAATAATCAACAATAAGGAGGTTGTGGGGCAAGATGACAGCCTAAAATTAAATCAATTTTTTGAATATGAAAGGGGAAAAAAAATACCTGACAGCCCAGGGAATACCTGGATTTCCTATCATAAAATGTCTCCCCATAATAGCCTGGTTTGGTGAAAAGATTCATGGTCGAGCCATCAATGGCCAAAAAGCCACCCTTCCACTCAGGACAAGTACGTGACTCGGCAAATTTACAAGCCAGGTCAACATCCTCAGAATTAGCTGCTGGGAAGCAGATAAACTGATCATGGGCATCAAGCACCGCAATCATCACACGATTAGTGCAATTAACCACGGACCCAACACTCACACCTGCCCATTGAGCGACATCCTCCAGAGTAATGGCGTTACCATAGTGGCCTGCCCAATTCAGAAAAATAGCGAGCTGGATGGAGATGGGGAGCTGAGGATTGTTGGATTTGCTTTGGAAGATAGGGTGATCAGAGATATAATCGAGAATGTCATCGAAGATCTCAGGGCTGACACGAAGTTTCTGCCGAAATAAGTGAGGGCGATGTTCCTCGTGGTGAATGAGCATGTGAAGCTGGGGTGCTCGTGGAGGAGGCTCGTCAGGCTTGTGGAGTACACGAGCCCTCTTAACCTCATCACGAAGTGCATCAATCGTGTCCTGGAGCCTGTCGTAAGGCAGTACAGAATCATCGGAAGATACAGAATCATCACTGGAAAAATTGGATATCCCTGTCATAGGGGAGAGGGGGGAGGGGGGGGATGAGGAGCTAAAGGATAGACTGATGGTGTCATCATCATCCGAGGTGCTAGAAAGCGAATCCTCAGAGTCAGAGTCAGAATCGCTCTCAAGGTCGGACCAATCGTCCAGGATGTCCTGGTACTGTAGCTTGGCCAATGAAAGTGTGGCCTGATCAACGATATCAAGGAGTTCTTGGCGTGTAGATGGACGAGGCATAGTTTCAGTAGGGCAGGAGTCGAGGGGATCAAACCTCCCATCCATTTCATGCATATGTGACACACTTTTTGTCGGAGTTTGAAATTTCGGAAAATTCCGAAGTTCCGTCTCACACTGAGCACGTTGGTGCCGTCGTTGACCTCACATCCTCCATGCTCACCTGCAGCACTGAGCAGGACATAATTCAAGTTTCCAGGTGCCATCCACCCAAAGTAAGTGATTTTTGTGCTTATTGCAAGTTGTAGCTTACATTCACCCTTATCTTACAGGAAATCTATTCTAATCCAGGTCCCACACACATCCCACCTGACCAACAACGCCTTATCTTTATGGGAGAGCCACTGCTCCGCCCTTCACTTGGTATCATCGACAACTATGACGAGTTATATCCTTCACAGCGGTGGGAAGACCCAGGCGCATACATCAGATCCTTGGACCCAGGCGCATACATCAGATCCTATCCTTCACAGCGGTGGGAAGACCCAGGCGCGTACATCAGATCCTCAGAGTCCCTCCACATCCTTTGGTGCTTCACCCTCTCCCACACATTTCAGCGCTACACCGTTCGCTAGCGCTCATGATGTGCCTCCTCCCACTATAGGTCCCTTCCCACATGTTGCCATTACGCCCTCCACTGGCGCTCATTATGCGCCTCCTGGTGCCCTTGGTAGCCCTTCCCAAGTCGCGGGCACGAAACGCCACTTTGCTGCATCACCCGCTCCTGCCCCCCCAACCGTTTGAAATTCCCACCAAACCCCCGACGACCCGCTCTCAGTCCATCTCATCCTCCTTCCCCCAGCACTTATTTGTTCCGTCCGGTACTTGCTACCTATGGCTGATTTCATTCTTGCGGAGTGATTTTTTTTTAAATTTTATTAACGCAGTCATTTGAAATACAAAGTCTATTGGATCCTACTTGCTACCCACAATGAATCTATGCCCCGGCTACTTTTGCTACTCTAAAGCACGACTTTCCCCTCTGTATAGCACGCTTTGAAAATCCTAAGTGTTTGAATGTCCGACTTTGTGCCGACGTGCCGAGCATGATTCAACTGTTGTTACGCGAGTTTGTTGAAGCTTTAGCCTGGAGTTTAAAACGTTTAAGCGAGTTTTGAAATGTTTGAAAAGTTGAATTGAGTACCACTAATATATATCATATGTTTTTCTCCGAAACTCAGAACAAGTCCGCTAGTTGTGCTTTGTAAGCACGCGTGTTCTCGGCTCGTGTTCTCGGCTTGTAAGCCTCAACAAGTACTACTACTAAGTAGAAGGTCGACTTCATTGTTTGAGCCTTTAGATCCGTTTTTCCAACTTGATTCTGACTCTCAGAGATCCGAGCGCTGAGCGTTAAATGACCGGTTGCGGAGTACTGCCACATCATTAAGCAAACCACATCGCGCGCCTCTATCCGACGTCCATCATACGTTGATGTTTGTGTTTCTAATTGCAATAAACCAGCTGACACACATTAGATCTATAGACTCATCACGGCCTAGGTCCAAAAATGCCGACTGTTGCACTACTCCCGACATATCCTCCTGCAAGTGCCAGAAAGTCCTTATCAGCCTCCCAGCTCGCAACTTTCCACAGCAACTTATCAAGCGCCCTCTCTGAAATCCTTGCACTACCTCCCGCAAGACGAGATACCCCTGCCACCCGTAGTTTTCTATTCAGCTACGTTAATAACGTTGCCCATCAAACCTTGCAATCTCTCATCTGGGATGCTCCACCGTATACGGACAATCATGTACACGCACGCGTCCTGTTCCTCGCGGAGAAGCTAGCTATCGTACCCTCTTGCTTCGATGTGAAGGCACTCCTCGACATCGCCATCGCATACTTTCCTTACCCAACCCGTGTCCGTGCCCTTTTCGCTACAGCCCTCGCTAGCACACCAAACCTTGCTACTGTGTTTACCTCAGATATGGTTCCTGTGCTCACCACTCTCCTCGAACCATCCCGCTCTGCCGGTTTATACGGCCTTCGCAAAACCTCACGCTGCTTTCTCAGTCTGCTCTCTGGTTGTCCACCCGAACTCGTGCGTCCATTCGCGAGGGATCACGATTTCATGATAGGACTTGCACAAGCCTACGAAGAAGGACTCGCTGCACTAGCACGTTCGTACGGTGGAATGCGCACAGACGTCGGCACACGCGAGCTGGATGACTGGGAGCGCATTTGGCTCGAAACCAAAGTCGACCTCATAGACAGTTTCCAAATTATTATTACAACCATGCTCCAAGACCTCTCAGTCGCATCCGGTGCAGAGTTGGCAGCAGAATCAGAGCGGACGTTCAGTATTGTATTTGCACTATTGAACCTCCCACCCCCACCAGCAGTACAAACGGGTGGCACTGCTACTAGCACTGCTGCTCCGTTCCTCAACCGATCGTTGATAGCCGACTATCAACACTCGTATGACTTGTCTAGCACTCTTGCATCTGCTCTACGCCGTGCTGCACGTAAAGATGCCCGAGTTGACCTCCTCGAGTCCACCCTTCGTTCCTTCGACATCGAGTCTTCCGCCGCTGGGACAAAAGATCCTGGAGCACTCAAGCTAATCATCAAATCATCTGGCATCCCGCCTGGTACCTCTGCTTCTGGGAAGGCTAAGTCGAGCAAGGGCAAAACTAAAGCAGGCCGCCCTGAACCTGAGCCGCATGATCTCGACGTGGAGATCTTGCAGGTCATGGATATTTTCCCAAATCAATCACCCGAGTATATCCGGGGGCTCCTCACGCAGTCTGTGTTCAAGAATGCAGAGAAGGTTATCGAAGCACTATTGGAGGGCACTGCGGGTGCAGTGCCCTCTGCTGCAGAGGATGTCGGTGCGAACAAAAGTGCCCATACTGTGCCCAATGAGCCTATTGAGAGAAAGAACGTGTTTGACGACGAGGTATTAGATATTACCAAGATACACGTGGGTAAGAAAAAGTATGGAGGGATATTCCTTTGTATATCCTGTCACTCACTGTTCTGCTCTATAGCCAAGATGAGGCGTCAATGCTCAGGGACAGAGCAGCCATAGAGCAAATGAAAGCTGACATTCTTCGACGTGCAGAGGCCATGCATGACGAAGAGGAAGATGAAGACAGCGGCAAGGCTGCCGAAGTCGATCATGATCTCAACTTTGGAAACGAGGTGAAGGTTATTGGTGATGGAGAGGCTAGCAGCGAGGGCGAAAACGATGGCGACGAGGATGGGGCACCGCCGTCGAAAGTCACTCCGGAGACCGTTTTGGAGCTTGCATATATCCGTGATCCGGAGCTGTTTGCTAGAGATGCTAATACGCGGAGGTCGAAAGCACGCAGTGAGCTCAAAACACAGACCGGCGAGTCTTCACTTGTTCTCATTAGTAGCTGCATTGCTGAGTTAACATATAAGGCTGGTCCGATGAGCAAATTGAGGGATGGAGAATTATGCTGGAACGCAGTGTATGTTATCATTATCTGCGTTGACTGGTCGGTACTGATACTCTCATCACCCTGCACCCAGCCAAACAAAGACAAGATCTTAGAGAAACACGAGTTTTCCGGGAATAGGATAGTAGATTTGTCGATGGCCGGAAACGCAGGTGGTTCTGGGTCATCGTCCCGTGGTGGAGATCACGGAAGAGGCAGGGGTGCGCGCGGAGCAGGGAGAGGAAGGGGGCGCGGCCGAGGGTCTGGAGATGGTGGTGATACGAGAGAGCGAGCATCGAAAGACAGGAACAAAGCTAGCAGAGGGAACCACAATCGGAAAAGGGGACATGACAAGAAGATGGCCAAAGCCGGTCCATCGATATCTTAATGCATAGGGGCGTCGATGGAGTATAATTTTCCCAATTTATGTGATGTAATGCGGTAAAATACAACGAGAACAACGAGAAGTTTGTATGTGCTGGTAGATAATCAATGTGCAGGCACACTAGGCTATGTGTCTTTGTACCGAGGGAAAAGCTTATCGAACCTCGATTCAAACGTAAGCTCAATCACGTCGTTGACCAGTTGCATATCTATATTAGTGGAATGAGAACGAACAAGGTCATACGATTTATTGAAAACATACCTAGCTCGCCTTCTGAATCCAACGGGAGTGTCGCCATGGCTTTTATTGTGGATGCATCCACCACGTTTCCAATAACTTCGACATAGGTGGCAGTCATATCCACATTCTACCACCGACAATGAGAGTTATGAAAAGTCAGGAGTGCACGAGCTCTGACCTTCCTTTGAATTTCAACCTGACCACCATCACTCGCTTCGACGATGGCAATGTCATCTGAGAGCTGTAGCAAGGTAAGGGAGTCAGACGCGTTCGTGAAAGACGTGAATGAAAATTAGCTGACTCGGAGTACTTTGCAAGGGAGGCGGACTGTCCTGCCCTTTACTCCGGAAAGACGGGCAGAGTTGACGCGCATTGAGATCTGTTCGTTCATGGCGAGCTCGAGATTGGAATTTGGTGTAGTGCTGCTCAAGCGACGCGTCTGTGGCTGTGTAGTGGATAGTGGTAGTAAACACAGGTAAACATACGCTTGGCCGACATGACAGTCGTTCAAGGTATAATTCATTCAGATCACCCCGACATAATTGAAGGTAACCCAGTATAGTTCATTTTGAATTTACACTTCGTATCTTAATGCTCTGCATACGATAATTAAACTCCAGAGGACAAGACGCGCGCATATGGTCACGTTATAGTACTACTATTAGGTCCGGCCGCCTAAGCACTGATTGAAGCTTCTTGCGCTGTAGCCTCGTGCTAAGCTCCCTAACTCAAACTGCGTCAAGGCTTTATAGGTCCTGGAGATGACAGCACAATTCCTTGTACACTTTCTCAACACAGTGAAGAAGTGGCTTTCACAGCTTGCACGACGCTCTGCGAGTTCTTTTTCGCTTTTTTTGTCTTTACTCTGCCGATTTGTTTCTGATCGTCTAAAGCTCAGTGCATGTCGTCGGAGATTGTTTGCTGGGATCCGTTTTTCCAGCGAGGCTCTACCGCGTTCCCAAGAGAACATCGCAAGACAGGATGCACCCATTTGCTTGAGTTCTCTGCCTCTACCTCCTTCGGATGATCCTCGTTCAAGAATCCATTCACAACACCTGCGAAAAAATACGGCGATACCTTTAAATACAACAATACGGAATGGAGGTACTGCAGAGATGGACAGGGGTTCTATATCAAGTTTCCACACAGGAAAGAGCTCTGGGAGCAACATGAGTCGGCCGTTTCCCAATGGAGACACATTAGAGCGGTCTGGCAGTCCAGGCCCATCACGTCCTTTAGGCCACTATGGATTGTGGGAGTCACATTCACGATCGCAGATATCCACGAATGATACTCGTTCTCTGGTTGCTGCAAGGTCCACGGCCTCCACAATGCATCCGGCGCTTGGCGTGACTCCTTCCAAACATAGTCTTACACCATCATTCACTGGATTACGACCGCACAAGGGACATGTTTATCGTCTTTCGGAAGACGTCCATAATTCCATGGCGCGACAACCTGCACCACCAGATCTTGCTGCCGATCATGTTTATTACGTTGCTCCGCCCCGTAGCGACGAGATGCCGGGCTCAGAGATTGAGGTCCATCAGCGTATACTCCCAGGAATATTTCCTATGGTTGCGGAAGGAGTCTTGAGATATGACAGGTGCATTCCCCGGTGAAGATGAGCCTTTTGTCCTATTTGTACTCAAGAGCTGACATTGCAAAAGGCCCACTGACAATGTCCTGACTACTGTCCCCGTTATGACAATCACGTTTCCTGTGCATGACCCGAGGTAAATCGTACTTAAACCATCTTCTTTCATACATAAACTCTTTCAAGTGTGGTTTTGCCCGAAGGATGGACCACCCTTGTTCATCCAGAAGGTTCTCGCTACTTTCTAAACGAAAAACAAGTGCGTAAAATCTATCGATTATTGAAGACCAGCATTTTTAGCATGACTACTATATGTAGAGGACATTCACAGAAGTAGATGTATTTGATCCACAAATATACAAGGGCATCGAAGACTACATGCAATACTTGTGGACTGGGCTCAGGTCAATCATTAAACAAGAGAACCTCCGCCTCGACCTGACGCAGGTGGACCTTGTACTCGAGCTAAAGGGTAGCGACGTTGCAATTGATAGCTCTGGCATCGCTTGTGGGTACTATTTCGTCAACCACAATAGCAGATGCCTCTTTTGGTTGCACAAGTCTGACGTCAAAGATGTACTCTCCGATTGTAAAGGCATCAAGAGTCTTTCACACATACGTGGGTGGATCGTAGTTGTCAGTGGATCTGGATCTGACGACTTGTCCTGGTTCTCATTGCCAGGGCTTGCCATTCAGGCACAGTACTGGTTGTGTTCTAGGAAAGGTCCGTACGACACGGCTCACAATACCATCCAATTTCTAATACAATCATAGGTTCACATACAAGTAAACTGACGAAGAGCGTAGGCTGCATTGGGAATACTTTCCTGACCTGTGTTTAGTTTCACAAGACCATGTCGATGAGATTAAGGATATGTTGATGCATGCGACATGTGGTTAGTACTTTTTTAGGTCTTCTATCTTGACCTAATATGTTTGGTTGCAACTTGAACCATCAGATCACATAACATCGAAGCGGTCTTCTGCGCTAGGTGATGTCATCGAACTCAAGGACTATATTTCGGTGGTAAATGGACTCAAGGGTACATACGCTACGTCGATACTTCCTCATGAATTTCTGTGCTAATTCGGTTTTTCTAAAAAGTTCATTCCCGTGAAAAGCAGCGGATGCAACGATGCCATACTGCCATTATCATTGGTGAGGTTTGAATTTGAACTTCAGCTGTTCCTAATGTCGATTATCATTTAAGGCCGTATCATGAAGTTATTCAGTCAGTACTCTCTCGTTTTCCTATTCAGCTGTGATTGATGATGGTCGTCTAGGTGAAAATCAGTTTATCAACTTTCACGGGGAGGATTGCGTGAGACTGATATCTGACAAAACGGTTCATGATTGGAAATACACACCATCATTGTTGATGGTCGTGATCGCACCCTTCCTTTTTTTGGACCCCATGACGCAAGTCGAAAAACTGCACAGAGCCATTGTAGATGAAATTGCTTCCTCGGCACGGTGGAATGCACTTAGTTCGAAATTGAAAGGGCAGCTCAAAGACTCCAATCTCCTGGTAAATCCACCCCTGTTGTGTTGGGCAAAATTAATTTCGAACCATCGGTAGGCCACTATCTTACTCAGCGTTAATGTTGGGTTTCTCGATATCAGCACTGTTGATACCGGCGGGAGATCTGCCATTCAGATTACAAGCTACATGTCCTTGGTGACGAGTTTGGGAAGTATAATTCTCGGCATGTTCTTGGTCTGGCATGAACAAACCTCTGGAGACAATACAGCCTTGGAAGCGGTCAGTAACATGTTGTACAACTGGAGTATTTCTTACGGTAGTTGTGTCAGGCATCATTTACATCGAAACTTCACGACGAAAAGCATGGACTTGAAAAGTTGGCCATAATTTACAGCATCCCCAAGGCGTTACTCATGTGGGGGTGAGTCTATACCATAATGCGATAAGCAGACGCCCTGACTTCAAGTTAGGATGATCTTCTTCTTTGTGGCATTTTCTATCGATTGGTGCGGCGCCAGCGATATAACTTCCGGAGCCATAGTCGGTACTGCGGTACTTATCGTATTCGGGTTGATATCATACGGCATCATTCGCATCAGGGAAAGAGAGCGCTGGTGGTGGCAAGCAATTGGCCAGCAACTATCATCCTTTCTGGCTCGAGTCATGAAGTTTTTGGAGATGATAAGAAGCCAAAGACGCAAGCCCCAACCTGACCCTGAAGAAGCTAGCCCCCATACATTGACAGACCTCCCACCAGCAAACGTCGAGGTGGACGCCCCAACCTCGCGCAACCACCAACCAGAAATACCAGGTGCCGACGGTCGTGAAGATCACCTTCACTCTATCGCCGACACTCGGTCATACCAGTCCAACACCTCTGTGACGTCCAAAAATGAAGGACAAGCAGCAGTCAACGACACGGGCGCCGCAGTACCGCCCAGTTCATATTATACAGAATACCTGGAGAATGCGAAATACACAGATAATGTCGTTGAAGAGCCAGAAGAGGTCGATTATTCTCGGCCTTCGTCAAGCACAACTCCGTACTATCCAAAGATCGTTGGTAGAAGGGCCACCAATGAACCTTTCCGTCATGCGGCGGCGGCTGCGAAGTGGACACTACAAGACGGTCAAGACATAGAAGAGGCCGAAGATTAGGATTTGTTGGATCTGATTTTGGACATCGTGAGTGGAAACTCATTGGGCTAGGCACTAAGTACTAACACCCCACTATGTAGCTAGGTGACCATCGCCAATCAGGATTAGACCTTACTGTAGAACATGTATTGTATGACTTATAGGCCAGCTGCGAGATGGATGGCCTCGTCAAGCGTCTCCTCACACCAATAAACGTGACTTTCAATCCGGGAGAGTTTGGATGTGTTGCACTGGCATTGCTGTGTATCATTCTCTCATTCCTAACATCTAATCGATCAAATGGCCCTGCCTGCCTCCTTTGCAACACTTGGTCGAGGCATTCTTGAAACAATCTGAGTAATTCTAGCACTATGTAGCATTCAGCTGCAAATACACGCAGTCTGTTACCACGAAATAAAATGTGATGCTTCAGACTTTGGGACTGCATATCAATCATCGATGTTCATACTTGGGGAAGTACAGACGTTCAGCTTTCTAATTTAATATTTCGGTTCGACTTCGATCAACCTTGCATCGTGTTGTTCCAGCTACACCGACTGACGAAAAACTGTATGTAACATAACAAAATGAACTCCGAGAACGCAATATGTGAGACTACAGACTTGGGGGAGAGTTACAACAGTGAAATCCGACAAGAAAATGGAAATGAACATAACCAGCAAACAGAAGACTAAAAGATGTGGTACTGATACAAACCTTGTGTTAGGGCTGTCAGGATTCGGGACAGGCCTAGCTATATAGTAAAATTTGTACTCAACTATCTGATTGATAATCGAACGGGAGAATCTGACTTACTTTGAACACCCCAACTGTAGACGCTTCAACGTAAATTCTTTGACATCATCCAGAAGCTTTGTCTCGTCAATTGCCTTTGTGGGGTGGATCTTTCCAGTGCACACTGTCTGATGCATGGCGTCGTTGCAAACGATGTAGACATTCTTAGGAGGGAGGTTCCCCTTCTCAATGTTAATTTGGACATTCTGGTGCGTTTCATCGATGAACCTCTGGTGTTCTTGTGATCTCGTCAACCGGAAAAGAGAACGTGTTGTGTCGTCCATGTCCGAGTCGGGATCCCAAGGGTCGAAACCCATCTTCTGGGACACCATGTTTTTGATGTGCTGGTCTGACTTGGAGCGAACAAGGAACGCCTCAATGTTCTTGAACTGCTCACAAGTGCGGAGGATGGCAAGGTCGGAATCCAAGAAACGATTGTCTATGACCACGATGATGCAATCAAAGATGTAGAGGCCCATGTCATTGAAGTATTTCCAGTCCGGCACCTCTAGAGTGCCTGATCCGGGAATGTCATACCAAATTGTCCGGGAGTTCGGGCGTGGATCAGGGTACCTCGTGACGGTGCGAGTGGTCTCGATGATTCCCGCAGGAGCGGCCATGGTATGATTTGTGGACAAGCCACGGACGGCATTGATGAAGGACGACTTGCCAGCTCCAGCAGAGCCAACAACTGCGATGTGGATGAATCCCGGATTGTAATGATACGTGGCCTTCATCCGATTGATATCTTCCTCTGAAGGGTGACACTCGGGGCGAACGCCTTCGAACCATTTCTTCTCAGCAGCGAGCCTTGCTTCTTCCACTCTGCGACTATCTTCTGCAGCTGAGTGTTGCAGTTCATCCAGATGGTTCTGCAACATTACGCGGATCAAAATCTCCATTAAGTCAGTTTTCATCTTCCTTGCTGTCTCTTCTGCTTCCAGTTGCCTGGCTCTGGCAAAATGCATTGGCCAGATGGCCGCAAACGTGGCAGACCCCGCAGATACCACTGCAGACACTGCAGACGCCACGACTGGGACCATAAGTGGGACAACCATGCGGTGCAGAGACACTTTGTGTGTGGCTAGCGACTTTTACACTGCTGAGAAGGGCAACCTAGAATAAGATTGACCAATTGTGAATTGCGGAACTTCAAACTTTGCTCACCTCTGTATGGATTGCGACAATGTAAATGTGGCGTGCAGCTGATGCTAAATCTGCAGGGAATGCAACAGAAAACAACTTGACAAGGGGCAAGCGGGGTGGGCGACAGGTTTTATACTTGTCCAGACAAGACGCGAAGCCGGTACGAATAAGGTGTAATAACTTCGGCAGCTTCCACATTGTTCAAAAGCTATTCACGTAGCTTCTGATCGGTGTTGTGTCTAGGGTAGAATAGAGTATGCATCCATTGATGAGAAGTCGTAGATCAGAGATCTGCGTGAAGTTCTGTGACCTGGTTCGCCTGGAACTATCACTTGCAAGACAATTTGACATTGTGCAATGAGAAAGCCATGCCCGCCACTACCCCAATTGCCCACATAGGCAAGCCATCGATAGACGAACTGAACCTTGTCTCACCAGTCCTAGTCGACCTCCAATTAGCCACTCGAGATCGCGTTATTTGCTGTTTGGATGCATGAAGGCAGGTGTTCGACGTTGAACGTGAGTGTGCCATTACCAATAGTTGTCATGTTTGGGCATACTTAGCAGATAACGATGTACACCATCCTTGTTTATTGTGATGTGCACTCTATGACCCTGGTATTATTAGGAAAAACAAGTCCTCGATGCTGACGTGTCAAAAGGTCCCTGTAACTGAGTAGTAGGGCATTGTCGAGATCCGTGATTGGATTGATTATGGTGATTAGAAGCAGTTTGGGCTGGGGATACGCGATGCCATTTTGTGGACGACATGTTGTCGTGCAATATGCATGTTGTGATAGGGTGCGGGCCGTCCAATATAGAAGGAATCTTCCTTCAATGTTATCATGATGGTCTGGGAGATTGATAGTAGTGGCGGTACACCTGCTAGCAGTGTTTTCCGCCTCAATCGCCTGACCACTCGTCCGGATGGCTTCAGAATATTTCGACCAGACGGCTACAGCAGATATAACAGCTGGGAAGATTGGTGCGCCCATGCAGTGCATAGAAACCTTGGGAAAGGGGGTGGATTTGCCACCGCTGAAAAGCGCGGTGGGGCAACGTGTTTTGTGTGCGTCCGATGTGACCTAGACTAATTAACGAATCGTGGACTGCGGAACTTCAAGCTTCGCCCACCTCTGTACGGATTGCCATGATATGAGTGCAGCGTCCAGGTGATGACAACTCTACAGGGCAGAGACGAGAAATCATCCGACACGGGGCAAGTAGTAGGGTGGGTGTACATGTCTTATACTTGTCCAGACAGATGTGAAGCTGGTACGAATACGGTGTAATATCTTTGGCAGCTTCCATATTGTTGAAAAGCTATTAATTTGGCTCCTGATGTGTTACGCCCAGGGTAGGATATTAGAACATGCATCCGCCGACAAGAAGTCATAGATCAGATATCTACGTTGGGGCAGTGGCTCCAGCCTTGGTGAATGTGCGTGGCACTCGAATGGGATGAGAGTCTCTGTCTACTGCCGCGCCCTGAATGGCACACATGGGCTGACTAAGCTACTCGAACCTCCGACCTGGCCCCTGTTCCTGCACCCCTTGCCTGGGGGTGCCCCACTCCAAGTGCCCCCCTTGAAAAAAGCCTGGCGGCGTCCTCGTCGCCTACTCTCGTCCTCCGCTGCTCTCTTCCTGTTCTTCCTCCTCGCTCTCGCCCTCCTGCTCTTCTTCGTTGCTGCCCTCCTTCTCTTGTTCCTCCTCGTCACTGTTCTCATTCTCTTGTTCTTCGTCGCCCTCGTTCTCCTTTTCTTGGTTCTCTCCTTGTTGCGCTTGTAGCTGTTCCTCAAGCTTCCGTTGTTCTTCAGCTAGTTTTGTGCCTTCCTGTGGTATGAACGTTCGTAAACGTCGGGCATGCATCTCTCCTGCTATCGCTTCTCCGTTCAACGTCTCTATCTTGTATGAGTTCCGGAGTCGTTCAGTGACGCGATGGGGTGGGGACCACTTGGGGAGTAGTTTCCGTTTCGTGTCGAACGTATAGTCGAGATTACTGCGATAAAATTGAACTAATTGTCCTTTAGAAAATATGACTTCACCTGGTGTACGTCCGAGGACTCGCTTGTCAAATGCCGCCTTACGTTTGATGGCGTGTCTAACTGCGGTGTCATAGCCGTCCAATTGCTGTTGTGCTACATATGCCATCTGCGTGCCGATGTCTGATGTACGTATTGCGGAGGTACTGTTGCTAAGGTCCGTGCGCGGGGTATTAATTACTTGTCCTAGGAGTAGCTCTTTCGGTGAGAACTTCAGTGCTGGCAATATGCGATGGTTGAGCGCTGTGATTGCGTCATCCAGATGGTCTGGCCAGTTGAGTGGTAGCTTGTCCCATGAAAGTGCTTCGTGATCGTCTTCTCCTATGTTTGGTGCGCATAATCTCTTTAGCACGTGCAATAAGATCTTGTTTGTGCCTTTGACTAAACCGTTTATCCATGGTGAGTATGCCGCAATAACGTGAGTACTACAGTTCCACTTAGCGCAAAATTCTTTGACGACCGTATTGTTGAAGTGTTTCCCTCCGTCTGACATGAAGGTTTCTGACGCTGTGAAGTTCTTGAAGATTTTCGCTAGGCTGTCGACCGTCGTTTTCGCTGTTCCGGCCGACTTATATTTGAATGCCCACACGTGTTGGGAAAACGTGTCCAGGTACACTCCTAGCGTATTGTACCCTCTCGCCTTCGGCAGTGTGAGGTAGTCCCCGACTAGAAGTTCAAAAGGATGCCGGCGCGTTATCGGTTCTAATAGTGAGTGGAGATGTGACGTACCAAAGTTCTTGCAGCGGCTACAATTGCTAATTGCTGTCATGATGGATGCGTCTAGCTTCGGACTATAGATCTGGTCTGTTAGTGCTATTTTGATCGCGTCTCGTCCCCAATGTCCACCCTCGTTGTGCTGCTTCACCGCCCGTGCTCGACCTTCCTCTTTACTGACACATTCCACTTTACTACGGGCTCTGACTGCAGTCCCGCCGTATAGTTTCCAGAGTTTCCCATCTTCGATCAGATATTGTGATGCACGGTGTCTTGCACGCTTCCGGTCCCGAACATTGGTTCCTTTGTCGATTTGTAGCATAGCCTCCACGACTTCGCGAAATACTGGTTCGTCTGCGAACCGTTGCAGGAGTTGTGATGCTGTTGAATCCTCAATGTTAGTAGATACCTGAAGTAAGTCGTTGACCAAACCCGTATTAGCCTCCCAATCTTCGCTAACTGTCCATTCGCTCCCGTCGAGTAATCCTACATCTCTTGGGTGTCCCTCCCACTGTCTGCTTAGTCCGTCCGCTATAACATTAAGTTTCCCTGGTACGTGCCTAACGTCTACGATGTTATGGGCCAAAATTCCATCTCTCCAACGTGCATGTGCTGCATTCAGGCGGTTGCTGATTAGTACATCCTTTAGCGCTTGACAGTCTGTTTCGACTTCAACTGGGAATCCCCAAATGACGTCCGAAAACTTGTCTAATGCGAATTTCAAGGCTGCGAACTCGAGTAGGAATGGTTTGTAGTTCCGTTCTGTCTGGGATGTGCGTTTTGATGCGAATGCGATTGGGTGTAGGCGTTCCGTCCATTTCCCTGATGAGCTCTTTGTGCGGTTCCGTTGTGACAGTACTGCTGCGAAGCCTTCTGCGCAGCCGTCCGACGTTACGACAAAGTTGGAGCCATCGTATTTCGGACCTTGCAGGATTGGTTTTGATACGAGTGCGGCTTTGAGGTCCAGGAAAGCCTTCGTATGTTCCTCTTTCCAGAGACCTTGCAATTTGAAGCTTCGTAACGTTCTCCTATATGTGTTCTTCGTGTAAGGTGCTGTTAGCGGTGCTCCCTTGACGAGGTTCCGTAGTGGTCCTTCCCGTAACGAGTAGCTCTTAATTAAGTCTCTGAAATGACTAGTCAAACCTAAAAACGACTCCAGGTCAAGCGCATCCGGAGGTTGCTCCCAATTAACTACTGCGGTTAACTTAGCTAGATCCGGTTGTACTCCTTCTGGGCCTACTGTAGCTCCTGCGAATGTGGTCTCCGTCATGAATAGGCGACACTTTGTTGGAGAAAGCGAGATATGGCGTTCGCGGCATCTCTGAAAAATTCGTTTTAGTTTGTCCAACATCTCTTGAAACTCATTCGCTGCGCATCCGCCATCGTCCACGAACAATTCCATGGTACTATCTGCTAATATATCGTGCAAATTGTTAGCTGTCATCTCGGAGAAAGTTGAAGGTGCGCCTGTCAAGCCCATCGGCATTCTTTTGTACCAAAAATACCCTCTCCCTTCAATGTAAAATGCTGTGTACGGTCGTGACTCTTCTGGAATTTCTACTGCGTAGAATCCTGCTGCGAAGTCGAAAACCGATACGTACCTATGTCCACTTAACCTTAGCTGTTTGGCTCTGATGTCGCCTTGAGGCATCGGCGCGATCATTGTGACCTTATTGACTTCGTTGAAATTTTGACAGATTCTCCATTTTTGCGGTTTCGGGGTGTTTTCCGTTCTTCCTTGTTCTTCTGGAACCTCGTGCTCTGGCAGGGTGAATGCCGGCGGCTGGCCGCTTCGTAAACACTGTTTGTTGATGGCTTGCTGTAGCTCCTCTAACGTCATGCCTTCCTGTTCGTGCGCTTTCTTCGCCAAGACTGTGTTTGCGCAACACTTGACCACTTCTGGTGGTGCGTGCTCAATAATTCCAGCTTTGATCATTTCGTCGATTTTCCCGTGTAAGAATTGTATTTGCGGGGGAGTGAGCGGTCGTTGGTTGACTTTGAGGTTGAAGGTTGTCCCCTCTGGTATGTTCAGCCGGTGGGTCGCTCCTGGGACTGGCAGTACTTCTCCTAGAGAACATGCGAAGATGTCAGCGTAATCTGCAACGAGTGTCCTTACCTGTTCGAGCTCTTCTGGTGTGAGGTCTTTTCCATACTGAACGTGTTTCACTATCCAGGCTGTTCGTAATGGATTGTGGGGTTCCGTTAGTCGAGTGAACGTTGCCTCGTCGTTTGCCAGGAACTCGGTGGGTATTTCCTTTAGGGAGATGTCATGTTCATTTGTCGGTGTGGGATCTTCATCAACCGTTACTCCCTCTGACATTCCTTGCGATATCGTATGAGTCGGTGTCGCATCTTCGTCCTTGACGCTTGCTTTTGCTGCTTGTGATTGGTTTCGCAATGTCGTCGTGCCTCCGATTCCTGTGACCTGAACTTCATCAACTTCGTAATCGTGGATTGCTTTGAAGGTTTGCAATAGCGGCTTTCCGAACAGAAACTTCCAACCTCCCCCGCTCTGTAGCACTTCGAATTCCCCTCGCGCTCTTACTCCTCCTATGACCACGTCTCCTTTCCAAACCGCCTCTGATTGCACTATCGCTCCATTTGCCATGCGGAGGCGCTTTGATGATGGGCTCCAATTGCCTAGCCTATGTTTGATGCCTTTAAATACTGACGCGCACATGACGCTCGTCATCGCTCCCTCATCGAATAACGCTTTGACTCTAATCACCTCGCCTTGTGGGCCTAGAAACGAGGTATACTGCAGGAACGGTAGGCAGCGCTGATTTCCATTTTCGTTTTCCGCCGTCGAGTACAAGTCACTGACATCGCATTGATCATCTGTCGTTGATACACTGTCTGATTCTGTGTCTATGATTGTTCTGACGGGGCTTTGAGAACTGTCCTCGTGCGTCGCCTCTCCACGTACGAGGACTGGTTGATCATCTTGTTGAGGTATGATGTCTGTTTGGGTCGTCTGGTGTCCCTCTACACTGACGACCCTGGTCCTTTTCCCTGGTCCCACTGTGCGTACTCTTCCTCAAATGCTACGTCGATTTGCACCGCATTCGCCCGATTAAAGTTACCCAATGCTCTCGCTGCTAGACTTCTCCAAATTCTCTCCTGGATTGGTAGTTGCGATGTCTCCGGCACTGGGCACTCTGCAGATCTATGTCCATGCGCACCGCATTTGAAACACTCTCCCGAGCATATCATGGCACTACCTGGCCGAAGTGGGAACTGGGTGGTCTCTGTGACTCGTCCGGTTTGTCCATACTTGGTGAACCATTGTTTGAGCTGCTCATCGTACGCTGCTCGTCCTGGAGTGGTGTCTGAGTGATGCGCTATGTCGTTGACGTGACTTCGCATGATATCTCGTTCTTCCTGTGTGAGAGGTTGGCGCTGACGAGTTGTCTGCTGGGTGTTTGTCTCGAGCTGTCTGTTGATGTAGCGTATACGTGGTGCTAGATTGGGTGATGACGTGGTGCTTCGCTCAGTTGGCGCAGATCCTAGGTTGGTGCGCTGTAACTGCAGACGCATGACCTCTATCGCATCTGTTTGCATAGTCTCGAGCCTTGCGAGGCGGGCACTCTGCATCTTCTCTTCCTCTTTCTTCTTTCTCGCCGTCTCTGCTTTCTCCCTCAGCTTGTTTGTGTCAAGCGCCTTAATTTCGTCTAGGAACTTGCTCCATTCCGCTAACCCCGGAGTTGTGAGCTCCTTGATTACCGTTGGTAGGTTCTCCCGAACTTGATACACGAGCCCTGCTGTCGTGTTGGCTCCAGCTTCGTTAACGAGCTGTCGTAAGTTCACATGAAATTGAAGGTGTGCCCACGTAGGAACGCCTGCGACTGTAATCTGTTTGCCTACTTCTTCCTCCTTTAATCGCAATGCTAATATCTCCCGTTGGTAGTCGAGCCCCGTTTTTTCAGCTACTGTAATTGCTGGCCAACGGTTCGAGAATGCTGTTTTGACATCCGACCACGTGCTCTTGTGCGAGGTGTCCAGTTTATTCCACCATGTGTCTGCAATTGAACCTGCCGAGAGCAAAGTACTGAATACCGTGATCTTCCCTTGTTCGGTCTTCAGTTCGTTAAGCACGACATAACGCTCAACTTCCCGCAGGAAATTCTGCGCGTTCTCGTCCGCTTTGCCATGGAACCATCCTGGTGTGTTGCCGTTTCCTGACATCTTCTTTGACTTTGATGTTTGCGGAGTGACTTTGGCGATGATGGGTTTTAGGAAGGTCTTGGTCGGTGTAGCAGGTGGGACTGGCCACGGTGTGATAGACTTCTGTGGCTGTACAACGGCACTTAGGATCTTTGTCGGCTGGTCGTCGAAGGTAGGAAGTGTATTAGCTTCTGGGTCTGGTGCTCCTGTTAACGACTCTTGATCTTCTTCGTCAGTTTGCTCTAACTGCTGGCGGACCTCGTGGGACTCGTACTCCGAGTTCTCCTGGTCTTGAGGTTGGTCCTCTGTCTCGTTAGATGTAAGCTCTGGCGTATCTAGTGGGGAAGATTCAGTTGATGTGTTTAAGGAAGAGGCGTCAGAAAGGCTAGTTAGGCTTTTTTTCGAGATGAATTGTCCTTTCGGACCTCTTGGTTGCTTTGGGGGCATTTTAGCGTTGTTTCTTATCGTCCTTTCTGCGACAATAATAATGGAATGCGTTCTACACGTGTGCGTTAACGTTTGGTCGTTGACGTTCTAAGCCTTGCTTTCCGTTGACGTTTCCAATGCTGTAACGTTGTATCGACCAATCGCTGTTTCTGAACCAATCTAATAGAATCTGAGAATTCTGATGTGGAAGCAGGTATGCGCTAGTGCGAAGATCGAATCCCACTCTCTCACCACGATGGGGCAGTGGCTCCAGCCTTGGTGAATGTGCGTGGCACTCGAATGGGATGAGAGTCTCTGTCTACTGCCGCGCCCTGAATGGCACACATGGGCTGACTAAGCTACTCGAACCTCCGACCTGGCCCCTGTTCCTGCACCCCTTGCCTGGGGGTGCCCCACTCCAACGTGAAGTTCTGCGAGTCGATTTGGGCAGATATGAGTGATAGGAGAAGACAGGAGTGAATCAGGTTTCTGGGCATGTATTTCCATATTTCCGATGACTGTTTGTACAATAGACGAAGGTGAGGTGTACAGTCTGGTGTATTTCATAGTGCAAACAACCACTGCCATGGGAGATGATCGAGAGCGTTGTGGAAACAGAGGCGACGGTTCGTAGGGACTGAAATGTTGAAGTATGTCGAGTCGGGTGAAAGATGAAACAACGAGATGCAGCGAATACAACGAGCAACGAAGAAGCATAGTAGCTTGGAGCAAGAGTCAGAATGGACACGAGAGACAAGTCTTCAAGAGGCCTCGGCGGCATATCTGCCAATGAGCCTTTACCTGAGCGCTGTCGCCTGGGTCATTTTCTGATTCGACCATGGACGCGTGGAACCACGAGTTCAGGACTGGCACTGATCGGTTGGCTTACTAGACTTTGTAGTAGGAAGTTCCAGAGAGACTGGCAATTCCGGTTCTTTCTATTTTTAGTAAGCGTGTCATTTAGTCACTGGCACTGCCTGCTAGGCCAGGATTCACCGCTTCCACACCATGGGCAAGAAACAGTCAGGGTCGGCTGAGAAAAAGCCTACGGAAAAGAAAGGTGGAAACAGCAAGAACACCGACAAATGTGATCAATCCGAGGGCAAAGTAAGCTACAACAGTCGCTTCTGATGAAAACCGCACCTCGAGTTGTGTCCAGGGAAAGGGTGGTCTGAAGGCTGCAACTGCTGTCAACGTCCGTCATATTCTATGCGAGAAACACTCCAAGGCAACTGAGGCATTGCAGAAGATCCAGGTGGTGACACATGCCATTATATGAAGGTGCACTGGTTCTGATAGGTGGTTTGCAGGAGGGGCAGCGCTTCGACAAGGTAGCGCAGGAATACTCAGAGGACAAAGCTAAAGGTGAGTTTACTGACCAGATATAATTGTGGAATGTCACAAAATTCTCGTCCCAGCTGGTGGCAGTCTTGGCTGGATGGTGCGAGGGTCCATGGTTGTAAGTACTTTGTCATTGACTGACTCAGATAAGCGAAATTTATCTGTCATAAAGGGTGCATTCCAAGATGCTGCGTTCGCCCTTACCCCGTCCACTGTCGACAAACCCATTTTGTCACCTTTAGTCAAGACAAGTTTCGGATACCACGTTATCATGGTAGAGGGTCGTAGATGACTCGACGCCCTGTGTATCTTCCGCATACTATGCACTCCTTTGGCCTGAGTCTACAATTAGCGAATTATACAACTACCATACGTGAGTGAGATACAAGCTAAGGATATACGTATCAGACAGTCGCCTGAAAGGACTGCAGTATATCTACTGAATTAGATAATTAAAGTGTCGAATCCCAACAGAAACAGATGCCAATTCATTCATGTGACAAGCTAAGCGGCGCCACAGCCTGCTACCAGATCACCACAGACCTTGTGGGGAATGGAGGTAGCGACGCGGTGCACATTATCACCATGTTGAGATAGAAGCTCAAGGAACAAACCTGGACTGAGATCAGCAAGCCGATTTCAGAGGCTGTGCGGGAGAGGTCTGACTTTTGTCCTCTTTGGACCATGATATTGGCATCGACGACGACTTGCAATAATCTGGGAGTTCTGGGGCGGGGGTGGCTTCCTCTGACGGGGCGGGGACTGCGCGTGCTCTTGGCTTCCGGGGTCTTCTGGTTTGCTTTGGAGGTGGAGCCTCAGCGCCTGGTTCCTGTACACGTCAAACATACATATCAACAAAAACGCCAGTAGTGAGTAATATGACCCGGACGTACAGTAGGTTCAATCTCTTCTTGGGCAAGACCCGACGAACGCGCAACTGCGGTGGAGCGTCGCCGGCGCTTCTGCTCATCCGCTTCAGGATCTGGCGTTGTCCCGGAAGAAGTGGGGGTCTGATCAGGCTGGACGGTACTCCTGCGGGACTGGTTTCTCCTGGGTTCAACATTGGATCGCAGCATAGCAGCCCTCCTGCGCTTGCTGGGTACAGCCGAGGAGGTGGGGTGGGCAGCCAATACCTCATCATCATGGCGGCGAATATCCGCAAGCAGCGCATTGCCTTTCTGCTTATTAGCCCCCCTGCCGTTCCTTCGGCGCCGACCTGCACCATACTGGGCAATAGCCTTGCGGAAGTCGACGTGCGGTTTGTGCAGGTAGTAGTACGTGACACACTGGGCGGCAGTCTTATTGGGTAGATGTTGAGCAATAAGCCCGAATTGTTTCGGATGCGCAGCGTATCTCTCCTTGAAGACAATGCGCTCCTCTTCTGTCCAGAGGTCAAGAGCCGAGGACGAGCTGTAGAATTCCGCAGGATCGTCCAAGAGATTGTTCGTGTCGTCGTAAGAATATGGACCACGGCCATCAACGACAGAAACCATATCCGGTATCTTTGCAACGTTCTTGATCGCCAAGTAGCTTGGATCCGTCAGCTCCTCCATCCCAAGATTCGCGATGATTTGCTCCATCTCAAGATCAGAGCGAACAGCATCACCCAAAACAGCAGCTGATCGTCTGGTGGACCTGCCGCCTGCAGAAGCTGGCATGGATTCCTCAGGTAGACCACCTTTTGACACGTTATCGAGCCGGGCACATTGCGCTATCCATTGCTGATGTAGCTCAAGATATTCTTCTCTCAGCTTTTGCTGTTTTTCCCGAAGGGTTGTTTCTCGCTCCAGGAAGTGTCCTGATAAGGACGATCTAATAGACTGAGAATGTAACGCCATTCTTTCCTGACGGGGCTGATCAGCTGCAAATTCCTCAAAAAGCTTGTCTTGCGCGTCAATGGGTGAAGGCAGAGAAGGCTCGCGGATCGCCCGATTGGCCCTAAGAACCGGAACAACACGCTCATCGCGCGTCTGACGATCACATTGAAGCCTCGTTAAGACTACAAAACGGAGGGCTTTTGCGGTCGAGTCTGAATAAGACGGACGACCATAAAACCAGGTTGCGGGTTGTTCTACGTCAAGTGCAGGAGTCAAAGGCTGCTCTCCTGCCTCGATATGAGATGGACTACCGACAGATTCGGTGGCAGTGACTTGTGGAACAGACTTAAGAAAGGGAGTGTTTCCTGTTAATGTTCGCGAGGAGCCGACATCAATATCTTTCTCCGGTATTCTTGATTCTGGTGAAGGAGCCGTGGTCGCGGTCGCGGACGCTGGTGAGTCATTGACGACCGCCCCCACAGATTTCAAAGCAGGACTGGGCGTAGCAGGACTAATGTCGTCAGAAAGAAGGGAGGTTTGGTTGGTTTGCATTTCAATCCCTTTACCAGCAGAATCTCCCAAGAAGGCGAATTCCATGTCACCAGGGAGAGCATGAGAAGATATGAGTCCAGGAGGAGACATCTCAATATCTAAATTGGTATACGTCTTCAGGTTATCGACAAGCAAAATGGATGGTCGTACCTTCTCCTGACAATAAACTTGGTGGAGAACGCGGGAAGTTCGATGCCAAAGGCGGACCATTAAGCTCACCGTTCACCACAGGATGGACCGGTTTGGCGTCCACGTGCAGCAACTCGTGGGATGGAGGCTTAGGGTGTGTAGAACCCTTTCCAGCAAGAGTCTTCGATGTAGAACCAAGTCGATCAGGATCTCGCGACAACACAAGCGTGGGTACTTGTTGAATTGTACTCTCTCGATTTGATTTCGGTGACACGATGTCCTTAGGACCATTATGCACGGACATAACAGATTTATCAGGTCGAGAAGAAGCAGATGATCGGGATGAAGATCTCGACTTTAATCTTTTAAGGGGGGCTTCAGAAGATATCGAGGACGCTCTAGATCGTGCTACAGAGTGGGCAGGTGATGCAGCTCTGCAAGATGGTGAATGCCTACGGGGGTCACGATCGGTGATATGTGGGTCTGGGGGAGGAGAGTTAATAGCATGGCGAGGCGGTGTACTAGCAATGGAGGTCGAAGACCGCGTATCATCGTGATCATATTGACTGGATGGTCGACGCGGATAGTAAGCATCTGTGTTCGATTTATCAACTGAGCGCGGTGACCGCCGAGTACTATCATCATATTGTGGCCGATATGAATCTGACCGAACGAACACGTGTGGTTCTCGGTAGTTTTGACCACTAGAATAAGGACGATAAGTATCACCATGAGTAGGAGGATACCCTGGTGACTTCTGAGGAGAGTAATCTCGTGCAGGACGGGCACGATAATCTGGAAATCTGGGACTTGTAGGCTCCAACCTACATATGATAATGAGAGAATATACTAAGTGACACGCAAATGGACAAACGCTTCGTATCGGCCGGGTCGATCGACGTGTGATTGCTTCCAGGAGTCTGATGGCTCGAACATTCGCTCTGCCATAGTATCTCTGCGGAGTTTTTCCCGTAGAGGTGGTGGACTCGGAGAGGATCTTCGATCTTGCCAAGACGACTGCCAGCGAGAACCGGGATCCCAGAAGCGTGGTTCCATAGAACGAGACCGTTCGTAACGATCTGGGGATGGACTGCGGCTGTTATAGCGTTCTGGTCTCCATGCAGTTGGCCTGTAAATGTTCGGATGATCATCACTACGATAGCTAGGTCCCCCACGGGGGATATAACTATCGTACGGGGAGTATCTCCGCGAAGATGGCCCAGGAGATGGAGATCTTCGACGTGCAGTAGAATAGGGTGACTAAGAAAGAGGATATTTGAACGACCCGAGAAAGTACGACTCTCACGAGAACTTACGTCGTATACAGATGAGAAACTGCCACCTAGAGAGCGTCGTATGTCGTGTGCAGACGAAGGATTAGCAAAAGTAGAAGATTCGTAGCTTGCAGAAGTCATGCTTAAGAGAATTGGGACCTCCAAGATGCTACAACGCTTGTCACAGGTAGGAATGGAAGAGAAGTTGGGATGAAAATTAGCCTAGCGCGTCGTGGTGATGTGAATATTTGTATAGCTATTTGAAAGCAAGTGAAGGTCAGTTATCGAACATGGATGTTTGAAACTTTGATGCAACTAGGAGCGAAGACGCTCAGTCGAAGTAAATGACTGAGGTAGATGAGTGATCTCTAGCAAGAAGGGATTGAAACTCCGACCCCCCATTTGCGGGTCGATGTCGTTGTTGGCAACTTCAAGGTGTTAGTATTGCTGGGGACTCTGTCAGGATGAACTCTGCTGCTTTCGCAAACACTGGCTCTGGCTTCAAAGATCCTGAAAAACTTAGCTTCGAAAGAGACTGGATACGCAGAGCAGTCTTGGCCTCGTATTGGATCGTTATTATTCTGGCTTTCCCATTCTGGTGGCATTTGACGAGTATCGAGAGACTTGCACTTCCGACCAGTCAAGTACGATCACAACTTCAGAGTAACATTGTCTTTCCTATCGCTATTCACTTTGATGCGTCCATTAGTCAACAAAATCCCAGTCTAAACTCTCAAGTTCAAACATTACTTCATGATTCTGCGATAAATGAACCTGGACGGTGGAGAGGCGTTGACATACGCCTACAAGACAGAAATGATGAAGGTTTGTGCGCTCACGGAAATTATATAGTGGACAGGGCAATCTAACGTGTTACTGTAGTAGCATCTAGCCTATATACAGTTGCTCTTGGTGAACAGACCTCAATTGCCCATTCAAGAAACTTGCGGGTGAACAGGACCGATGCACAGTCAGGTGAGTCAATAAGAGTACCGTATCTTTAAACGAATTCGACTGCTCTCATATTAGCAACGAGATTAAGCTCTATATTGTCCGACCTTATCGCTCCTCCAGAGTCAGGCACTTCACATTCGCAGCGTGTCGTTCAATACTCAGATCACTATCGTCTCGCTTTCACGCTACTAAACGAAGATGCAACCCCCAATCGATTCGTTGCAACATGGGATGTGCAAGCTGCGCTCGCAGGTAATCCATATGGCCCCTCTATATCGAGACCAACTCTCAAGACACTTTATCAGAATTCATATATCCGCTGATGTCTCAACTCTCTATTTTGCACAATTTTACTGTCGAAAGTCAAGTACAGTACCATGCTCCATTAGCATTTGAGCCGAGACGCGTGACCCTTGGTGACACCGAAGTATCAGGGCTTACTCAGGAAGACTTGACGGTGTTTATCAATTCTGCCGAATGGACACTTGGTCAGTACTGCGTTGTAATCGATGGTGTCGACACCTGACCAGTCATTGTAGCATCCAGCGTCTCGAATGATCCTGTTCTACATTTCGTTCTATTCGTTCCTTCTGAGACCCATTCACCCATGAACATTATTGACAGTGAAGGTAAATGTCGCGTATACTCGCTTGTGGTCATTTCTGACTTATCAATAGGTCGTCCAATAAATCAGAGCTCCTTCCTTTTGCCCCAATGGGGCAGTATTTTCATCCTCAACAATGAACTCAACTCCTCGTCGTTGCATCTTTCATATAACGATCTAAAACCAGTTTTCCGCAATTTTGCCACCCAGCTCGCTGCTCTTTTAGGCGTGCCACCCGTTCCCCTCGGCTTGAGTATGGAAGGAAGCTTTCTATCTGACTGGCAGTTAGATGCTCTGCTCCGGCATCGTGCATTGCAGAATGTGCAAGGCAGCCAGGATACATTGCACAGCATTATAAAGCTCGTGGATCAGATCAATAACATGCCTGTTGGGCAAGTGGTACGAGATGATGTCCTAGACGCCCTTGCATCGCTCCACGAGGTGCGTTCTGCATCTTGTGTCATATTAATGAAGACTGTGCTCAAATAATGCAGGCATATCGTACTGCCGTGACATCGCCGGCCCTTGCTCTGCGATGGTCCAGTAAGGCACTATCTATGGCGTCACGCGCTTTCTTCAATCCTGGGATGCTGGCATTGCTGTACTTTCCTGCCGAGCACAAGTATGCGGTGTATACGCCACTATTCGCATCTATATCTGTTCCTCTTGTGGTGGCCTCAATTCGGGATTTCATGGCGTGGAAACGGGGCTCACAGGATAACGGAAGGCGGTGAGATTGATGATTACGCCCTTTGTTTGATAGCTTGTTTGTCGTCCGCAAGGCTCTTGTGTACGCTAGAAAATAATCCTATAGCAGTGTATTGTAGCCCTCCGTACTATAGTATATAATCACGGGTATGGGAAGCATTAAAGCCAGCTGAAGCAATAAGATAAAGGGGGTGGTTACTGGGGTTTTGATGGCGGTGATTGATGCGACGTGTGCAAAGCGTATTTTGCTGCTGAATTTTTGAGCATGGGGTAGCACGGAAATGTGTGTATGACATATATTTCCCATAGCACGAGCCTCGATGGCATCCCCATGGTCCCCCTCTCTCAATGCGAAGGTAGAATTGCTATTTTGCGGCGACTCCACCTAGATCCCATAAGTTGACAGGGGCTCACGTATACAATTGGGTAATAAGTCCAAGTGCTGGGCCTCTGCCGTGTCTCCGTGTGCTGCTGCTCTCTTAGCGCATCCGCCACAAATTCGCCAACTGCTTCATTGCACGTAATCCCGCAGATGTGCACAGGACAGTGGTTTGTACAGGGTGCAGTGAAAGCTCCAGTCGCTTTGATCACCGCCGAATTCAATTGTCCAGAGCCAATTTATGACTAGCCGCCCTTCCCCTCCAAGCCACATATAATATTAAGCTCCCACCTAACCACACATACAGTATGATCTTTAAGTACTGAGTAGCGGTATAGTTACTAGCCTTTGTGTTACTTGCCCAGCCAGCTCGGGCCTTCAAGGTCACGTGGGAGTAATTACAAGGACTACGATCATTTAATCCCGATTCCCTCCCAACGTCAACGATAGCTAAGCCTTGAAGACAGGCTCTTATACTATTGGTATGAGCTCAACAAAGCTCAATTCAGAGGGGGTGTTGCTCTTTGAGCAACCGTTCGTACGAGTGCGCAGTTACGCCTGCTAATTCTCAATGACCTCACTACAATCACACTCCGCCAGGTCCCTTATGAAAACTATCGAAAGGTCTTCCGTGCGACACAACGGAACATTGAGCGCGAGCTCGGAAATGTACAGACTGTCTCGAATGACTTACTAAAACGATCCAAGAGCCGCGAGGTCAACCTCGAGGATGCTGCTAAGAGCGTAGATGGAATGATAGGTCGGGTTGAGAACCTCAAGCGCAAGGTACGTGGTGTTATTTGCTAGTTCGGATCTCATTTTACATCAGTGGACATTATGCGCAGCTTTCAGAACTGCAGGATACCGCTGGAAAGCCCACCCTTGATGTCACTCGGGAGAGGCTACAGCATCTCATGGCGGTAGAAACCCTGCAAACCACTGGTAGCCTCGATTTTTCACGGTGGGCGGACACGCGGCTTGACAGATGGCTTGTTGACTGGGCCCTCCGGACTGGACGGGAAAACACAGCACGAACACTGGCACAGGACAGGAACATAGAGGTTTGTAGTTCCGCAAAGTGTTCACATCAACTCATGGCGTTTACCGTTTGCAATAGACCCTTGTGGACATCGATCTGTTCACAGACATCCGAAGAATTGAATTGGCACTTTCCAAGCACAGCTGCACTGAAGCACTGGCATGGTGTAGCGAGAACAAGACGGCGTTGCGGAAAATTAAGGTGAGACTGAATTCTGCAATATGTGATCTCTATGAAAACATCTCGGTTCTTCCGCAGAGCACGCTCGAATTTGAACTTCGCTTACAAGAGTACATCGAGTTGGCGCGTGATCAGAAGAAGCAGGAGGCCATGGCTTACTCGAAAA